TGTTGTGCTGAGTCCAACTAGCGCTGGTCTTCAGCAGCTTCTTGCTGTTTGTTCTGTGTATGGTGTGGAACATGACATCAAATACAACGCCAGTAAGAGTGCTGTCATGATCTTTAGAACCAAAGAGGATAAATGTCTGAAATTTCCTGATTTTAAATTGTCTGATATTAATCTTAGTGTCTGTAATAAATTAAAATATCTTGGACACTTTATTACAGAACAAATGACAGATGATGAAGATATTTATAGGCAATGCCGCATGATGTATGCACAAGCAAACATTCTCTTACGTACGTTTGGTGCATGTACAGATGGAGTGAAGATGTCTCTGTTCAGAGCATATTGCACACCGCTCTATACGGCACATTTGTGGTCAAACTACAGAAAAGCAAGTTTACGGAAACTTCAAGTAGCTTATAATGATGCCATGAGAATATTGCTGAAGAGACCTCGATGGTCTAGTGCAAGTGAAATGTTTGTGGCTGCAGGAGTCAATACTCTACAAGCTGTTTTAAGAAATCTTATGTATAAATGTATTTGCCGGCTTAATGACTGTGATAATGAAATCCTTTTGGCCTTATCGAACATAAGGTTTAGTACTACACGCTACCAATCACAGCTGTGGAGACATTGGTATAGTTGTCTCTTTGTAGGACACTGATTTAAATTATTCTTAAACTATGAATTATTTTTATGCTGTGTATGTCATTTATTATATGGAATGTCTTGTCTTTTATCTGGACCCTGAGTCTGTAATAAAGTTTTCATTCATTCATTCATTCAATCCCAGTAAAGATTAGAGAACAAAACACCTGCAGTTTATTTAAATCTAACTTAAAAACATGGTTAGTGGAAAGTCAGCTCTGTCAACACTGACACAATCTGCACTTTACAACGCTCTGTTTGTACATGTGCCTTGACCTGATCTGTCTACTTTGTGAATATGTATTTTAGTTTAGTTTTTATGTTTTTATATATGCTTTTATCATAATATAAGCATCTCTGTTGAATGTTGTTTTTCTGATTGTATTTACCTGTTATTTGAAGTGAATTTTTGTTTTTAGGATGACTTTCAGCATCTGTCAAGGGACTACAGACGAAAAATAGCCTGTTGGCTAACTCTGGCGCATTTACAGAAATGTCAATCAATGTGCGCTGTCCCTGTCAAAAAATAAATATATATATATATATATAAATGGTCTCTAACAGAAACACGGCACAGCAACCTCCTAGAGCTATAGGCAGTAGTGTTGGTCCTCCAGCATTTCAAACCCTTAATTCGGGGGAGACATGTAATGGTCAGGAGCGACAACAGCACCACAGTGGCATATATTAACAGGCAGGGCGGAGTCCGCTCCACCGCTTTGTTGACCACAGCGGAGAAACTGTGGTTATGGGCTTCAGAGGTGGTGTTATCTCTGAGAGCCCTCCACATTCCGGGTCTGGAGAACAGGGGGGCCGACCTCATGTCGAGGGGCGGACCCCTGCCAGGCGAGTGGGCGCTTCACCCGAAGGTGGTGAAGCGGATCTGGGCCCGGTTCGGGACAGCAGAGGTGGATCTGTTCGCCAGCCAGCGCAACAGCCACGGTGCCCTGTGGTTCTCCATGGCTCTGAGCGACGACCCGCCCTTGGGGGTGGACGCGTTTGCACACAAGCCATGGCCAAGAAAGCTGCTCTACGTCTTTCCACCGCTGCGTCTCATTCTCCCCCTCCTGGGGAAAGTGAGGCGAGAACGTCTGTCAGTCATCCTAGTGGCTCCGGACTGCGTCGAGGCGCCGTGGTACTCAGAGATGACACAGATGAAGGTGGGCCAGCCCTGGGCGCGTCCCCAGTTCTGGGGGGCGATGTCTCAAGAGGCAGGTGCAATCGGGGCGTTACCCACTCTGGGCCAACCTCTCCAGGCTTGGCTCCTGAGACGGACAGGCTGAGACAGGGTGGATTGTCTGACAGCGTTATTCAGTCTATCCAGGCAGCATTTTTATTTTTTTGACTTGCAAAATTATCTTTTAAATTGACAAACATCATATGTGTAATTCGTTGCACAATTCAAACGGGATCGAAAGATAATCTTTCTCTCTCCATTGACTTCAATACATGATTTTTCCGAAATAAGGTCCCATGGAGGTACCCCGGAAGGGGAGAGACTTCACCACTTTATAGAGTCCAGTAGAGGGCGGAGCCTGTGGGAGATATAACGAGGGGTTACGTATGGTAACCCTTGTTATATAAACACAGGCGGAGCCCTCTACTCGGGGGCCCTCTTTTTATGCATGTAAACGGTCACAAACCCTTAAAGTACACCCTGTAGCAAGTAAAACACTAACACAGAAAATACCTGTCTATGCTGCCCCAGAACGCCTCGTTGGAGATTTCTCTTTTTCCATTGTTTACTTCTTGGGTACAGTGACGTATTTGGGTATAGTTAGGTTACGTCCGGGGAGCCGTTACGTTTGGACCAATCCGCGGACTTCCTCACACACACACACACACACACTCGGCGGGACGTTGCGAGGCTCGCTGCTGCGAGGAGCGGACAGTGTGAGCTGGCTCACTGGTGTGGGGTCGGCGAGACAGCGCGGAACTCAGCCTGAGCACACACACAAACTCCCAGCCAGGCTGTGGGTGTGTGTGTGTGTTTCGGGCTGGGTTTAGCTGTGTCTCGCTGTCTCGCAGACGGCCACTGGGCTCACAGGGAGGGGGGGGGCAGGAGCTCCAACAAGCCGTTTAGGACAGATAGTGAATACACATGCTACACAGAGATGCTGTATGAGAAACCAATGTGAGTTTGGAAAATTGCACAATATAAATCTATTCTAGTAGACCTCAACAATAGAATTATGATCAGTAGAAATGGCCATGACATGGGACCTTTAAAGTATTAGCCTACAGTACATTACAGTTTACAGAGAAGAGATAACATCTGATCCTTTTGCAACAAACACTATATGCTCTTTTTTGTTTTTTTATTAACACATCCGGCTAGTAATCCCTTATTTTTAGAATGTAACAGTAATCTGATCCTGATCATCCTGATACATGTAATCTGTTACTCCCCAAATCCTATATAATGAATGTCAACACTTTTGACAACTTATATAAATGATGATGATGTCTGAGCGTATCAGTATGATCGCACCAAGTCTAATTTGATCAGTATATAAATGATTGAGCAAGATGAAGGCCTGTCTGCATGAAGCTAATGAAAGCTGGTTTCAATCCGAGATGGTGAGGACGGTCCAGAGAAATGAACCAGCTGTCACTCTGCTCAGACTGTGGCAACACACAAAGGACCATGGGAAAATCTAATTAAACACTTTAAGATCCACACAACATTTATAGATTTAAAGTGGCAGTAGACATTTGTTTGCCCTCACTTCTCATATGAAGTAATTGTTGATGCCAGATGCATTGGCCAGACCTACCACACTACTAACATAAAAAAACGCCATGTTTCCATCAAACTATGCAAAAAAACACCATACTCCCATATATCAACTATAACAGATCCTGAAAGGGCTTTTCATTATCATTGACAGCAACAATGAAAAAGACTCCAAATGCATTACATTTCCCTGAACACTGCCTTGATCACCTCCTTTACACTATTCAACCCTATCAGCAACTGTAATCACCAATGGAAAAATATCTCAGCCATTAAACCTTATCAGATGAAAGGATGCCAATTATCACCTTTACTCTTGGCACTTTTTATTGAACCACTCGCCTCAGCCAAAAGACAGTGACAGCATTTCAGGCGTAAAAACAAATTCACATCACCATAAAATCAGTCTTTACGCCAATTGCTTTGTATAACATCCATTAACATCCCGCCCGTCAGTCCACGATCTGATTAACAGTTTTGGCATGGTTTCCTGCTATTCCATCAATTGATCTAAATCCGAGAATTTGCCTCTGAGATTCTGCCTCCAAACCATTTAACTGGGGTTAGGAATCTGTTTGGATGTAACATTTCTGGCCGAAATATGGATAAATAGGGACTTGCTAGCGGAGTGATGAAGAGTCTGCTTACAATCAAAGGGGCCGTAAAATCTGGGCTGCTATGTAAGTTCCTGCATTCTGCCCGCGGACGATTTCTCCCTTCAGATCCATACTTGTTAGAGTGCCTAAGCCTCACCTCAGACTGATCAAAGCCGGTATAATAAGTTTAGCCAAAATGGCAGTAAATCGTTACTCTCCAGACGCTTAAAAAATCCATCATTGTACATTTCTATTAGCGACTTTTCGCACCCCCGATTTTCCCCTTTCAAATCCATACTTGTGAGTCTATGTGATAGGTGGGACGCGATGAACGGGAGATTATTATTTTAAATAAATGTTTTGGACCTCAGGCCGGAATCGAACCTGGGTCCTCACGGGCGGTAGTGGACTGTTAAAATGATTAAATTGCATACATTTTCTTTTAGTAAACACTGAAAACAGGGCCCATAGACCCAAATAGCACACAAAGGTTAAAGGTAAGCATATCATAATGTTCAAATGTGCTAAATATATACACTGCAAAAAAGAAAAAAAAAGAGGAGTAAAAGTAGCTCACGACTTGTTTTATTTTTTGAAAGTAGCTCTCATACTAAAAAAGGTTGGAGACCCCTGTTATAGAACGATACATTTGGCAATGTTAAGCTTGGCCTACCATTTTATTGGAGCGATGAGGAACAGGTGGGGCTTGAAAAGGCCTATTTGCCAGGACCCCTGTTAACAAACGTTCTGATGGCTAGATACAATATTTTGTATATAAACAGTGCACACATCGATAAAAGTGCTTTAGTGTAATACAACGCTTGAGAAAAACAATGTAATATCATTTGGTCAGCAAACCAAAGTCGACCCATCACTGGGTCAAACAAGAAAATCATAGTGTTGAGAGAAAATGTGTATTTTGAGAACAGCTCATAGAGTTTAGAATTATGTTGCCACTATGTGAAGTAAAATTAGCGTAAAGAACAAGGAGAAGAACAATAGAGTCATGTGGTTTGGATTACCTCAGAAGGGTCCTTGTGTGTTTGAGGGGAAGAAGGCCGGGTAGAGGATGCAACATTTTTCCCCTGCTTCTCAGAAAGCGACCTGGACCATCCAGCAGAGCTATCTACAGGGGAAAGGAAGAATATTTAGCCCAAAATATGTTCCAAATCTTCTTAAAACAACAACGCAGCAGGAGGACCGCAAAGCTAAGACTTAAGGCAACACATCTGTTTAAATGATACCCATTTCCATTACACTTTAGAATAGTGTCATTTAAATTGTTTATCGCCTTGGGTGTGCACATTTGATGATTTGTCGTAAGGGTGGGAGTAGATAAAAGCAATTTTGTTCAAGTTCCAAAGGTTGACCTTGTGGAGAGCAGGAATTATACATCAACCATACACCATCTCACTAAGGGACACCGAGTAAGTGCGTTACACAAATCATTGTTGTATGTGGCAGAAGTATCTTCAGTTAAACAAAGGCTAACTCAAGGTTGTTGTTTTTGGACAGAAATCATGGCTCAATTTCAACAGCCTCCTTAGGAAAATTACAAGGTCACCATAAGATTATGAGTATGATTAAAAGATACATGTCAAAGCAGTAAATGTAAAACTTGTCCATGCATTTATCTTCAGAAGACTCGATCACTGGACCACTGGACCAGTGTCCTTTACAGGTCTCGCTTAAAAATCAGGCTGCTGCCGCTGATTCAGAGCACTGCCGCCCGAGACCTACGTTTCTGGTCTGATTTCTGTTCTGCTTTACTGTTCAGTTTTGATGCTCCATAATTCTGAAACATACTCCCGGAAAACTGCGAACCTGTGCCAATTAACCATCAAAGCTTAATACTTTTCTGTTTGCTGCTTTTCTTTTAAAATAATGATTCATACCTTTATAAAGCACTTTTGTTCTTTTAGTGTTTTTATGTCTTTTATAGTTTTTTGGTACAATAGTAGCACTATCGAGATAAAATAGGATTTTTTTAGAGACAAAATCTGTCCACTGACAGATGGACATGATTTAGACAGCCGGCAAAGGATTCGAAACCCCCTCTGTGTCACTTTCTGGGTCAGAGGTCTAGGGCCACATCCTGCTGACAAACACTCAGGGTAAAAACAATACCAGCATCTTTGTGACGGCTGGTAAAAACATGTGATGTATAAATCTCACTGTCTTGTGTCACTTTTAAAAACTATTAAAATGGAATCAGGTCACATCATTTAATTAGCATTTTCTGTATCAGATAATGTCATATAAAACAACTTTAAGCGCCCTTAAATGGCATTTAAAAAGTGCAGTCTTCCAAAGACTTATCCTTAAACTGGTGGCAAAAATGTATTTTGCCTCAAACATTTCATGATATTCTATAAAGGCCTTGTTTTATTAAGTATTCTGTTATTATCTTGATTCTGCCTGCACTGCAATTACATTTTAATTAGCACATAAAATAAACTGAGGTGGTAGATTTGTTAAAGGGCCCATGTCATGCTTTTCCGGTTATTACCCGTCCCCTTGTGTGTTATAACTTATAAGGTTTTTATGCATGTAAACGGTCTGCAGAGTCAAAAACCCTCAAAGTACACCCTGTAGCGAGTAAAACTCTAACACAGTCTGCTGCCCAGTGGCGAGCCGTCAGGGCCCTCTCTAATAATATTTGAAAACATTAGAAAATAAACTTTTAAAAAAAAAATATTTAAAAAAAAATATTTTCATTAGTTTTACCAAAATAACTTGATTTAGGCCTAATTGTATTTAAAATAACATTTCCAAAGAAATAAATCCTTCGAATCTGCCTGTTCAGTTTCTGTTGGAATGTGAAGGGTTAAATGCCGTCTCTGCGAGTTATGTGAAGACGGGAGGGCTTGTTGGTCCCTCTCTACATTCACAGAGGGCCCGCTATAGTAACTCAACGAGAGAGTAATGTCAAATGACAGTACAATTGACCAATCATATCTTCCCTCTAAATGGGTGGGCTTTATTTTCGCGGACTTTATGACAAGTTCCGCCCGCTGTGAGGTCTATGCCAGTGTGTTATAAGAGGTTTCTCAATTCTTAAATGTCCCCTCCTCGACTCCTATCCTCGATACTACGTATCTCTCTGGTCGCTGAAATGGGGAATTGAAATTACGGGCCAAATGTTGTATTTACAAGTAGTAGGCTATTAAAAGTAAGCATAGGACACCAAACCAACTGAGACCCGTCTGTCCGCCGCATCTACGCACACACTGTACCACATCCACCTACACACTGTACAACACACACCTACACACTGTACAACACACACCTACACACTGTACAACACACACCTACACACTGTACCACACACACACAGCTCCTAAAGCATAATCAGGCTACAGCCGTTGTGTATTTTATTATGTGAAGCACCAAATGGTTTTAGAAAAATATTGACTCTTTGTTTGTAGATATCTACTAAACTAAAGCAAATAAAGAGAGTAGGCCTGTTATACTGAGTGATATATATTTTACACACTGCTCTGCTTTCTGCACGGACCTCACAGCTGTTCCCTCTGGAAACATCGCGTCGCGATGAAAGCAGTTTCTAAAATAATATCCAGCAGGGCCCAAGGACTACAGACCAATAGCCCTCACCTCAGTGATTATGAAATCACAACAAATAATTCTGCTCCGATTTCTTATCAGTACAACACAAAACAAACTGGATCCATACCAATTTGCCTATAAACAAGGGTGCGGTACGGAAGATGCTGTGGCCACTCTGGTTCACATCATCACTAAACATTTAGATAAACGCAACACCTATGCAAGAGCCCTCTTCCTAGACTTCTCATCAGCATTCAACACAATACAAGCAGACATCTTGGTGTCAAAAATTGCCAAAATGGAAGTAAACCCATACCTTATTTACTGGTATGCTGCTTTCCTCACTAGTAGAGAGCAACTTGTGAAGATTAACAAAACCCTGTCATCTGCCATCACAACCAATGTAGGTGCCCCCCAGCATGGCCGTATCTACCATTGAGGTCACCGAGGTCCGGACCTCGGTAATATTTTCCCGAGCTGTGTATAACAAAACTTGTGAAATAAAATTGCACTAACTGGCATTCTTTGTAGTACTTCCATTTACTGACCATGGGGGCGCTGCATAACTACGTAGCTTCTGTTAAAGCAAACAGAAGAAGACGACATGTATCAACCGTATCAACAAACCTCCGCAGCCCTGTACCGGAGCAGCGGAGGAGTCATCAGGGCCCAAGAGTTCAAAGCTTTTAATCTCAATCAGATCCGATCAGATTTTGAAATCCCATTTTTTGTGATCCAGGATCAGACAAGTCGGCCAAATTTTGTCCCTGGAGTTCAAAGCAATTCAGGATAGGATCACCCTGATCCAGATTACGATTTTTCAAGATGACTAGATCCTGAATATCAGTGCTTTAATCCTACCGATCGCCATTTTGTGGACATGACAAATAATACAAGGAACACAAGAGACCACATTGCAGAGACATCTATTGTCCGCAATTACTTTTGAAAGGTGATGACAGATGATGGACTTTTTTTTTGTTGAAGATATTTTTAATTTAATCTAAATTACATTTGTGATTGACAATCTTTGTTGTGATACTTTTATGAGCATAAACATTTATGTCATCAACATTTGGTTGAAAACAAAATAGGCCACCACAAACGTGAGCAAAAATGGAAAAAATAAAATCTATTTCCCATGAAGGCTAAAAAATTGTGTATTATTTCAGTTAACAAACTTTGCCATCTAATTTAAATTGAAACATATTTTAAAATACATTGTACAGTACAATTTGCTCTGGTAATCCACTGGAAATCCACCCCTCTGGTGGGATCAGGATAATCCAGTTTTTGGGATCAAACTGATCCCAATCCTGTGTTGTCGGTTTGAACTACCCGTTTTGAAGATTTGATCCAGATTAAAGCTTGGATTAGATTTCCTGATCTGATCGGATATCAAAGTGATCCTAATCCTGTTTTTTGGTTTTGAACTCTCCAAAATCCAAATCTGATCTGATTAGATAGGGATTAAACATTTTGAACTCCTGGGCCCAGGTCACTACCGGAGGACCGAGGAGTCGAGGAGGGGACATTTGAGTATTGAGAAACCTCTATAGAGTGGTGCAGTGACGCATCCTAAAACCCGGAAGTAAGCTGCGCATAGCTTCCCTCGACAAAAAAGCAATGGGATTTCTCCATAGGATTTTGGAAAATAGCTGGAAATAAGGTCTGTGGAAAACGAACCTGTTAGATAAATGCACGTTTTGTTCAGCAGGATAATATCCACATGTCTACCCTACTTTTTATAATTTTCTAATCATAAATCTAATCTATAGATTTATGATCGATAGATTTATGATTAGTATAAATTTGTTCATGATGGCTCACTTCAGTGATAGTGATGACATCGTTGCGAAATTATTAACAGAGTCATTTTCAAGATTGAGTTACAATGATAAACTGGAGTGGCAAAGGATCAGCTGAATGCAAGTGCTTCATCCAAAAGGACTGGAGGATGGACTTTGTGTTTCAGTGATTTGATCATCAAAGGTAGGCCTAAGTCATTTTCAATGCGGGCCTACTTCATTCATTTTTAATTGTTACTTTGCTGTGGGTGCCCTGTCATGATAGGTGTTCAGGGTTTCACACACATAGAATATACTTGGGCGGGCCAGGTATATTAATGGCCGCCCAAGTATATTTCACGAATAAAAAAACTAAATAAAAAAAACTATTCGTCCGTGACCACGACGCCATCTGCGATCGATTAACTTGTGGACAATGATCCCTTGCTCTACGCCTCCTGTACCCAGTCCCATATTGGCCATCGGGAGGACCGGAGGATTTCCCGATGGCCTGGCATGTTAAGTGGCCTGCCTCACACAGGGCGACTGGCTGTCTACATGATGTGGCCTGCCAACATGGCCACTGTCATACAGATCATAAATCAAAGCCCTTGATTGGTCTCTGTGTGTCATTCAAGCTCGGGATAACCTCAGCTCAGGGGCCTCATTTATAACGCCGTGCGTAGGAATCACGTGGGAAAGTTGCTTATGTAGTAGAAATCCAAAAAATAGGACATTTTCCGATTCACCAAACATTGCGTACCGGCAAGGAAAGTGCGTACAGCACTTCCTACGCCGGTTTCCCTTTATAAATCACAATCGACTCGAAATGCGGTGCAGCTTTTGCGGGCTTCACGTAACGCCCATATTAGCCTATAAATAGTCAAAGAAATGCCCATTCATTCATTTTGACTGACTTTATGAAGAAGATCGCAGGAAATGACGACAGAACAGCTAAAAAAGACATCTCACACCGTGTCAGATTTTGGTTATTTTGGGGAGGTGGAGATAAATCATATTGTTTGGTGGATGCCGTTTGAACCAGAGTAGCAGCATGGAGGTCGGATCGTCACCAGAATAAATAAATAAGTGGTCCAAAAAAGGTTCATGACAAAAAGAATACACATAGCCTTCCTCAGGCAGTGTGTTTGTACCGGGGACAGGAGACCCCCCCTTGATGAGAAACTGTAAGAAGTGATCGGGGAATCCCTCCGGAGTTGAGTCATGACGACTGGATCTGAATTATGTTTTTGTATTTGGTGGTTTGTGTCCCAGCTGTCGATCAGCTGTGCGCAGCGTCTCCGCTGCAGCAACTCTATATCCACCAGTTAAAGGAAATACAACTAATGTGTTGTGTTATATTAGCTGTACAATTGACCACATATGGTGTTCTTAGTTTCCATACCTCCTATGTTTTACGAGCGACTTATCAAGTCTTAGCAAACGGCATAAAACACGATTAAACGTGATAGTATATAAAACCATGCTCGTATCTACAACCTATAGAAATGCAACACGGCGTCAGTTTAGACGCAATTCTGTCCTCCTGCTTACCGCATCATTTATGAGAAAACATTTCATAACATTAACACAACATATTCGAGGTGGTTTTAAATAACATATCCGTATTTATTTATTTCTCCAAGTTATGTTTTTGTGTGCACTGAGGAGTCTCAAACAGGCGTTTGTTTAATCATTTTAAAATTGGCTTTAATCAATGTGTGAAAATGAATTCTTCATATATGATAAATGAGAGGTAACATTTTATTGATGGTATTATTTCCACATATTTCTCTCCATTCTTCCTTCTGCCAACGGTGTTGCAGTTTCTCGTCTCTCCCGTTGTTGTGCTTAGTGCGTACGCATGGGTTAGAGTTTGCGTGGAGTACCGCACGTTTTCCCATCAAGTTAGTATTTTATAAATCGCAAACATTGCATAGAAACTGGCGTACGGCATTTTTTGAGCGTATATCCCTTTATAAATGAGGCCCCAGGTGTGGTAAAGGACTCTGAGTGTTCAGAGAGTTAACTTAGTCTAAGTTCTCAGTGGGTCTCAAATGGTTTGGTCACCATCTATGTAAACATATATTTCCATTTGAGGGGGTAGTGATTAGTAAAATATGCATGAATAACATTTTAAAAAAGTTAACTAGGTGAAAAAAGGCAAGATACACTTTTCAAACTTGTTGAGAGCTAAAACTAGTCTTTGCTGCTGCCTCAAAGAGGAGCAGGGGGAGAGGAGGGAGACAGGATAGGCTGATTCAGGAGCATAGACACACTTACAGACATTTACCAAAAATAAATAAATAAACAAGTTTCAATGTTTTTTCATATTGGAAATGGGATGTTATTGGTTATGGCCATGATTTTATGATTGTATGAGTATTGAAATGTATACAGTTCTGTTTCATATAGGTGTTTCCATAGATCTAGTCTCTTTATTTTCCCCTCAAAGTGCACCAGACTGATGCATTTAACTCCAACTTACTGGGAGAGCATGCCCCCGGACCCCCCTAGAGGATTTGAGGTCCACCCCCACTTAAAATCACATTGATAGGTTCCTAAATACATTTTCCATTTTTTTTAAATAGTATGTCCATATGTTTATTTGTGGGTAGTAGATTTATACTATAGGGCTATCACTATGGGCCCTGCCTGTACCTGTTCGCTCTGCCATCGCGTGAAGGGTCTGCTAACAAGCGACCAACAGAAAGGTTAATGTTAATGTTGTTGCACGTCACCTCAACCCCCACCAAGTATATTTCAGATCTGTGGGAAACACTGGTGGTTATATAAATGGTGTTGTTTTGTGTGGTAGAGGGTCGCTGTCATTGATGTGTTTTGCACCCTGGGCCGTTTTGATATTCCGCTGAAGTATACGCTGTGATGTAATAACTCTTCTTTTTTTCGAGGGAAGTGGGGGGTCAGAGGGCCTAGGTATAAAAGTCACGGCTCGCCACTGATGCTGCCCCAAAACGCCTCGTTGGAGATTTCTCATTTTCCATTGTTTTCTTCCTGGGTACTGTGACATGTGAATACCCAGAGGCCACACCCTCTGCCAGCATTTCACGAAACAAAGCTTCACAAACCTTTCAGCGATTCATGCCGGATATGTACAGCGTAGGGCACTGAAGAACGATGCTGTTCCTACTTTGTTTGGACCAGCGGGAGATTCGGGTACACAACCTGTAAGTATTCATTGTTGTTTGTGTATTTATGATGTTTAAAACAAACAAGGTATCTACCACGACTGTTTAAATGGGTAAACGTTTTTCGGGTTTGCTAAGTTGGGATCGCGGAGAAATGCTCTCCGCAGACCCATTCTCACCGCGTTATAAAACTTTTTCTTACTCAATATCAAGCCACACTTATTGTTTTTACTTCGGCTGTGAGTGTTTGTGTGCTCAGGATGAGTTTTGCTTGTTCTCGCTGTATCGCCGACCCGGGAGCCTGTCTGCTCCTCGCAGCAGCGGCGAGCAGCAACGAGCCTCTCAACGGCCCAACCAATCAGAGCACACTGGGCTCACAGGGAGGGGGGTCAGGAGCTCCAACAAGCCGTTTAGGACAGAGAGTGAATACACATACTATACAGAGATGCTGTTTGAGAAACCAATGTGAGTTTGGAAAATTACACAGTATAAATCTATTTTAGTATACCTCATCAATGGAATTATGATCAGTAGAAATGGACATGACATGGGCCCTTTAACAAAATGCAATGATACTTTTGGTGATATGGTGACAGATAGAGACTGACAAAGGCCTTCTTTTGATTATTTTTTAAGTTGTCCTGCTAACTAAGCTATCGTTTTAATCATATTGTTGGCTTTCCTAGCCAGGTCTCGCTTGGAAAATTATTTCGCAAAGGATAAATTATCGCTTTGTGATGGACAGCAAAGGAGATAAGCTAGAGGCAGTAAGGTATGCTTGCCCTTGCTCGGTTCTACATTTACAGTAATGGGTTGGAATGAGGTCCCATGTTAATACCAAATAAAGATGGTGACAAAAAGTTTCATCCTTTCCTCCACTGGTTATTCAAATGTTACCAGCCATCAGTAAACTCACCCGCGTGTTCCCGGTCCTGGCTCTGGATGTGGCTCTCATTAAAGTTGCGGGTCGGGCTCTCAGACCTGAGGCCCCCCGGCTCCACCTGGCTCACAGTGGAGCGCTGACTCCAGGACCTGACTCTGTCCGGGGCCGCTGCCTGATTCAAACCCGCTGAACTGTTGCTGGGACTCGGCATGTGGTTCTGGTTCTGGTTCTGGTTGAGGGCCTGGACCACATTGTGCTGCAGCATACTGAGGCACTCCCCCAGGCAGCTCAGAGTGGCAGCTGAAGTGGCCTTAAAAAGGAGAAGGTCCTTGTCCAATGGAAGGAGGAGAGAGATAAAAAGGACGGTGAGAAGGGGAAACATTCACATTTTAGTTTCAGATTTTTCTTGGTTTATCATCTATGAGTGTGAGGGTTCTACAGTACTGCAACACTACGTGGTGTTTGTCCACCGCTTTATAGTCAAAACTGCACCACCAATTGAATCAGAGATACAGGATCTCAGGATTTAATGGTAAATGGATTGCACTTATATTGAGCTTTATCAGGTCTTTTCGACCCCTCAAAGCGTCGCTTCATAGCTTTACGAGTAGCGAGTCGTTCACCCATTCACACCTCATTCATGCAGAGCAGTACCACTTGCTCTCCCATTGTTTCTCAAACTTTTTCATACCAAGAGGCGCTTTCATACTGCGGTACTTTTCCCACAAAGGTTCATGTGAACTTAGTTCATGAGAACTCTTTAGTTCTCATGAACTAAGTACAGATCGCGTTCACACTGGAAAAAGTCCCTGGGGGTGGATTAGGCAAATGAAGCCGCTGACGTCACTTCTTCTTCTTCTGCTTTGGGTTTACTGGCAGGCCGCAAACCACTTCACGGCGTATACTGCCGCCCAAAGTCCCCGGCCGGAAGTCCCCGGAGTTAGGGACTGGCTTCAGTAGAAGCTGCTGGGACTCCCAGCAGCTTCTACTGAAGCCTTCCGAGTAAATCGCCAGAACGCCGACACCTCCTCATCTCCACCACTCCCATGTTTTATTTTGTGTTGCCATAAGTTAGTCTCTCTGCGTTTCTGCGCTGGGTTAATGCTAATGCTAATAATGCTAATGCGAGGATAATAAAATGGCGGCTTCACAAAACTTTTTTGGGAGTTTTACGGGGCGTGGTTTGCAATCCTTCCAGCCAATCAGAAATGTAGCTCTTTTCTCACAAAAGAGCCGTTCGAAAGTCCCTGCTCTCTAGCAGGGACTTTCAAGGGGGTAAAAAGGTTCACATGAACTAATTTTAGTACCGGCTCTTTTTGGTGTGAACGCGATAAAAGAGTTCACATGAACTAAGTTCACATGAACCTTTGTGGGAAAAGTACCGCAGTGTGAAAGCGCCTAAGGACCACTTAACCAATAAGAAAACACTCACGGACCACCTAACTCCCCAAATATCCAAAAACCATAGGCCTGCTCACCACTCCAACAGTACAACAAAGTACAGCCTAATAATAACTACAGCTTAACTTCTCTATATCGCCTCGTTCACACATTAAATCAACAATACAAATACAACTACAGATTATATAAGCATTTAGTTCAAATGCGATTAAAAATGCTCAGGTTTTACACCTCATATAAAATTTAGACTACATTTATTACTGAGTTTATGTCCGAGCCAACAGACTCACAGATCGTTGGCTACTGAGAGAAATGCAAAATGCATGTAGTACGACACAAGCCTCCGCTGTGGATTTTCAAAACAAAATACAGTAAAACTGTGGTCGCATGCCCAAGTTGAACTCTCTGAGGTCTAAGCCATATTTTCACATGTTAGGCTCGCCTGGGCTTTTTTTGTAGAAATGCTATTAAAATATGAACCTTGGTGACCATCGGGCTGGCCTGCATGGTCTGCCTGCACAACAAAATTAAAAAAACGTTTATGCAGCCCCAACAACAGCCTCTGGTCATCAACAGAGATGGGGTCGTTACTAAATAAAAGTAATATATTACATATTACATATTACTTTTTTAAAAAGTAATATATTACACTACTTCGTTACTCTCTACATAAAGTAACTCGTTACTTTACTCGTTACTTTACTTGTTACTTTACTCGCAGGGCCGGCCCGCCCCTCCCTGCAGGCAGATCACGCAGACTGCTAAAGTTTCAAATGTTCTCTTTAGTTCAGTTTCCATAAGACTGATCCAGATCCTGAATGTTTTCCTATCTGACCATGGTTGTCCTCTGTCTCCTGCTATCTGTATATTTTGCGCAGTCTATCTCTGCTCACGCTGTTGCGTCGGCGTGTTCTCCTGCGTGTTGGCCATGTGTTGCACTGGAACCAGACTGGAACACACCGCAAAGACTTCAGCCGAGCACGTACGAACTGCGCATGCGTGAGTGGCAATAACTCTCCTTACCAGCAGGCGGCGGTAGTGTGTATTCGTCATTCAAAACAGGCAACAACCGGAAAACAGAGAAGAAGAACAGACTACGTGATATAAACAAACAACAAATAGCTGTGCGTTAGCTTCACCTTAGCATGTGTTCTTTGCAGGTGCTTGTTGAGGTTTGATTATGACTGATTTTAGTAAGTAACTAAGTAACGCGTGGCGGGGCAATGTTAGTAACTGTAGTGTGATTACTGAATTTACTTTGTAACGCGTTACACCCAACTCTGGTCATCAACAGACTTCATGCAATGCTTCATTGGATGCATATATTAGATACTAATCTCTATCTCACTCCTAAAACATCTAAATCTACTTTTGTTGGTCTGAAATTTGTAATTTCAGACCAACATAGCTGCAGCTGCCCCGGCCGAGATTTACTTGACCGACATACGATACAACCAAATCCCACACAGTGGAACGCAAAGTCAAGCTGCTTTGAGCGGCCTTATTGGCTGCTGTGAGTCGTCAGGTAAAGTCTCACAATAGGTACCGCTGGAAAGCTACAGTTCCAGCGATTCGGTGGTTATCTGCATGATATTTGTACTCCTTATAATCGAAAAGATCGGATTAAATACGTAGAATATGCGCACTTCGACATGGCGCTGCGAGCGTCGACTCCAGAGGCTCTTACTTTGAAACCTTGAAATGCGGAAATGTCGTCATCAGCAGGCCATCACGTGGTTTCCGAAAATAACCGAGTGACACGAGCAGATTTAGGTCGAGACCTGGCAGAAAGTTTGTCTCAAAACTCTGTAGCCTCATCCCAATACCCCTCCTCGACTCATCTCTTCCCCTCCTCCGGGACTTGACCCGGAAATCGATCAAGACACGCCATTTTGAAGGACGTCCGAATAGCTGAAATGCACACGGAGGAGTCGAGGAGGGGTGAGGGAGGAGGGGTGCGGGAGGAGACGAAAGGGAGGATACACGCGAGCAGACTACACGGAAGTGTTTTCACTACTCGCGTATAAAAGCCCCGCCCCCACCTTTACAGCTGGTCGATTTCAACAGAGGAAAACCCACAACTGGAAGATGAGTGGAAAAGCGTCACATAAATGTATAAGTGCTCACAGCTCCGTGGGAATTATTATGTGCAATTCATTTCTAAAAGGCTTTCACATTACTATAATTATATTTTTATTTAAATCTAGGCTACATTTTACAACAAAACGGAACAAAAAAGCAGGACCAACCATCAAATATTGAATTCCTTGATTAACAAGAGAAAGATTCATTCATTTAAATAAATATTTAACAATTAATGGGCCGGTTCTAAGGGGTTATTCAGTTAAGCCCGATGAGAGGGGATACAGCTGTGCACATGTCATCATTAACAGACATCGTTTAAAAGTGACGTTTGAGTGAACGAGGACATCCCAATTAATACCTGAGGACTCCTCTGTCCTCGCGTCACCTCCTCGTGTCTCTCGCTCGCATCTTACGGAGGCGGAGCTAAGACGCAAGGAAGGGAAGCGAGTGAGGGAAAGGAGGAGTCGAGGAGCGGTATTGGGATGAGGCTCCAGTGTGTAAAAAGACGATCCACAAGCAGAGATTTGAGATCCACAAGCAGAGATTTGAGATCCACAAGTGCATTTTTGGTTGACAAATACAAAATGGATTCACAAATGCCTGATCGAAAGTTGTCAATGTTAAAGAGATATTCACAAATTCCTTTAGTTTATTTGTAAATTAATTATAGTATTCACAGATCTTAGGGTTAAGTATCTTGCCCAATGTTGACTGCACGGGCTGGGATCAAACCAACAACCTTCTGGTTAAAAGACTAACACAATCCCTCGCAGCCACAGTCACCCCTTAATAAGAAGCACTCTTTAGTGCACAAGTCATTTCTCAAATTTAATACAGAGGTAAATCCCAGGACAATAAAGTATTTTGTATTTCATTATAATGTATCGTATTATAATGTAATGTATCATACCGTTAGGCATCATAACGTAACATATCGTATCGTGTCGTATTGTGTCGTTTCGTAATGTGTGGTATCGCAACATGTCTTGCAATGTATCGTATCGTGTTTTTTATTTGTGTGTCATGGATTGTCTCATCCAAAATGGGACTTCTTGTCTTGCATATAGAAAGCATCACAAAAAAATCAATGGTATGCCCTCCAGAAGCACAAGTAACTTTGATTGATTGGTCACAAGGCGTGGAAAGAGTGAGTGGGGTCAACGAGGGTATGAGAAAATTTGATTTGAAATGAACCGCATCAAACAATAACCTTGTCTTGAAAACGCTGTTCTGTATTCAATTCAAAAAGGCAGAGCACAATACCACGAGCAGACTTTAAAGAGTTATTGGTTTAATATAATTGGATCATGCATTATGCTTTTCATTGGTTACTTATCTAATTACCTCATCCAGGGAAGCGAGGGGTCCACCTCGGGGGGGTAGGGACTCTATAGAGTTGACCAGGATCTTCTGCTGCCCTTCAGCCTGGATCATCACCTTCACACAGACACAAAGAACAATTTCATAATCAAGGAAGCAAAAGCATCATGTAACCAACTTGGGGAAGCAATGACTTGTCACCTCTTCTTCCTCAAAGCAGTAATATTGAGAGTTGATGCTGTGATTGACACTGCATGATTCTGGTTAGACTCTCGCTCAACATAAACAGTAACCGCCTCTCCAGAGATTGTAGGAGACAATAAACCCTGGTTCTGCAGAGATTGAGATTAAAGTCCAGGAGGAATTTGAGATGTGATAGAAGTGGGAAGAGGGAGCACCACAGTATGAAGAAAGAAAGGAAAATGTCGTTCTTTCTTCTGACATGGCTGCTGCAGAGCAGAGGCAATGAGAAGTCACAGAGTGTTTAATCATGTTTGATAATGAGTCGTGTTAAATTAGTGTGTGAGATGAGCTGAGATCAATGTCTGTCACATGCGCACTCATACTTATGAGTTCAACAGCAACTAAAGCTTTTTCTTTATCCCCCGTCAGGACATTTGACTGCCTCTAATCTCCAGTCTTAGGGGCTCAGTCAAACAAATTCTACATACTATTACATGCTGTGTATATGAAACCACTGCAATCAGTGCAGCAGCAAAGAAACCCACTGCAGATTGTATGTTGTATTAAAGGTGGGGTATGTAATTTATTTCAGAAACACTTTTTGTTATATTCCATGGAATGCTCTTAACGTCCCGATAGCAATGAATATATGAAATGCTTTGACAATAAATACATAAAAATATCATCTGTGGAAGCCGTAGCGCTGTAAAAAGCACGCCCAATCATCTGAGCCGGCCCGGCTAAAGTAACTGGATGGCCTACCTGCCTGTCAGCCTTCCATCTGTGCACAAACTTATCTCGTGCCCTCATTGGTCATGTGCGCGTTCGTGTGTGTTGGAGGAGGGGCTCTGTAAGGAAGTGGCAGATTTTTTTCGGTTGTGTATTTTCAAATTCTAGCGCACTCGAGCTGGTTTCTCCAAAATTACCTACCCCACCTTTAAGCTTAATTGAAAAAAACAAGATGCAGCTATACTTGTTTACCTGAAATGATTTGAGTTTGTTTTAATGCTCACATGTTTTTATGAGTCCAAATTTGTGGTGGGTGCCAATGTATATTATAATGTATGCCCCCCTGTGACTGAGAGGCACCATGTAGTGTGAAATTGGTCGGGTTAGTTTGGGACTGTCTCCAGCCCTTAAGAAAAGCAGCGTTGGATTGTCAGTCTGTCCGTTATTCCAATACCTCGGTCCAGGGCAAGTTATAGACAACATCTGCATAGATTCTCAAGTAATATTCTATGAATGTTTATGGTTCTTGGAAGGTAATTATTCGAATTGTGGGTCCCCCGTTTTCTTTTATCTACCAAAACCATCAGGTTAAAATGCGCTCTTGATGGTTGTCAATGCTCCCCCAAGGTTAAGATACATGACTGATCATCCACTTTTCAGTGTGAGGTGTGCCATGAGCTCTGGGAGAACATCAACTCTCCCAAGCCAGATCAGAACGGTTTGAAATGAAAGAACAGACTTTACACTTTCAGCAAGACTGACAATCAGGCTTTCGGAGTAATGGATTACAGGTAACAGGATTACATAATCAGGACCAATAACCAACCAAGGTAACCCCCCCCACACCTTATCACCTGAATCTCCTCCTGGAGCACCATTAGATGCATTCACAACGCAGTACTTTTCCCACAAAGGTTCATCAGAACTTAGTTCATGTGAACTCTTTAGTTCTCATGAACTAAGTACAGATCGCGTTCACATCGGAATAAATCCCTGGGGGTGGATTAGGCAAATAAAGCCGCTGACGTCACTTCTTCTTCTTCTGCTTTGGGTTTACTGGCAGGCCGCAAACCACTTCACGGCGTATACTGCCGCCCAAAGTCCCCGGCCGGAAGTCCCCGGAGTTGGGGACTGGCTTCTACTGAAGCTGCTGGGACTTGCCATAAGTTAGTCTCTCTGCGTTTCTGCGCTGGGCTAATGCTAATGCTAATAATGCTAATGCGAGGATAATAAAATGGCGGCTTCACAAAACTTTTTGGGAGTTTTACGGGGCGTGGTTTGCAATCCGCCCAGCCAATCAGAAATATAGCTCTTTTCTCACAAGAGAGCGGCACGAAAGTCCCTGCTCTCTAGCAGGGACTTTCGTGGGGGTGAAAAGGTTCTCATGAACTAATTTGAGTACCGGCTCTTTTTGGTGTGAACGCGACAAAAGAGTTCTCATGAACTAAGTACTCATGAACCTTTGTGGGAAAAGTACTGCGGTGTGAATGCGCCTATTGTGTTTTTGTTTTTTTAAACCAAACATTTCTCAGAGGGGCGTGGCCAGCAGCAGCTCATTAGCATTTAAAGCTACAGACAGAGAATCAGCACTTTTGGATCAGGCCTGAAACAGAGGGGATTATGGGATGATCTGTTTGGTATTTGGAGCCAAACACTTCAGAGACATGTTTGTATATATCTGACACCTATAATATATTGTTGAAAAGAGTATAATAGGTGACCTTTAAATAAAAAACATCTTGTCAGTAATTATTTTCTCTTGTATTGATTTGCATTGCATTTGATATTGAAGTAATCAAAATGTAACAAAGTAATCAAGTTACATTACTTCTATATTAGGTTAATAAATTACAATGTATTAAAGGTTACTATTAATTGTAACAGAATACATTTTTAAAGTAACACTCCCAACCATGTATACATATATGCTGGCCAAGGTGCAGATATATATATAAAGAGATCTAATTATGTCTTTTTTATCGCATTCCTTGTCACTCTCTCAGACACTCTCACACATACGAACAGGCAGCGCTCAGATCGTGCTGCACTCACACGCCGCGCTCTTAGGGGAGAGTGAGTCATCAGCGCTGGGTTATGAAAAAGCAAGAGGAAAGCTATTACAAGACACAATGCTGTCACAGCTCAAATCAAGTATGCATGCAGACTTCAGAAACAATTAACTGAAACTCTTTTCATTCATATGCACCTTATGTGCACTTTATGTGTAGAATTACAATGTTCCTTATAATCTTTGAGGATACGGATAATAGTGTGTAGTTGATAACTAACTGGGTTTGTTCACTGATGTTAAGACTCTACTGTACTCGTAATTGTTACAAATATATTTTTGGATGTATCTCAAAAGTAAACACGATAGACCAATGAACCAGGAGACAGGGACATGCATTAAGGCTGTGACTAAAATCTGAAATAAATTACATTTTACCCTTTTATGTTTTAGGATTTGTGATAGCTGATCATTTCTTAAATGCTTAAAAATGTCAACCATTTGACCTTCATTACAATACATCGGATGTTTTTTTTACTGTATTTGTAGTCTATAAAGGGAATAAAGTATATGCAAATGCATACATAATTTGAGTTAAAGCCAGTTACAATTACTACGCTGCTTTAAAGAGTTGACATTTTGTCTGTGGCGGATCATGGTCCCAAGGCCCGGGATGATCCTGGTACTTTTTTTAATCTACATTCTCTCCATTTTGGGATCATGCCACACTGAGCAACTATGGGGCCTGTCTACAATGCTGTATCCAGTTCCCTTTACACATCCATGGTTAATGCTTTGCTCTCAGCCATGGGAGGCAGGAAGGGACTAATACTGATGTGGAAAACTTTGATCCATTTCAATTAAGATGTTTAGAGCCATTATAGTGTTTTTGTTTTGGTGTGACACTTTGTTCCCTTTACTCTGCCTTTGCTTAGCCAACAAACCCTGCCTGCCCTTACCTACAGTACTGTATCACACACAGGTATAATATCCAGCCTCTCTGGATATCTGCCTCTTTATTATAGGAGCAATTTTCTTCATGCTGGGAGCTTGTATCTGTACATAAAACAAATGTATCATGTGTACTTCAATGGCCTGTTTTCCCCTCAATTTGTTTTGTCTCTAAGAAAGCAAATCACTCTCTAACAGGAAAGGAAAATTAGACAATCACTTCCTGTCTCTCTTCCAGAGAACCAAGAAAGATTTATTGCTTTATAATAATATAAAATGAAAATGCTCATGTGATACATAATCACAACAGCGGGAAAAGGAGATGCAATAGAACATCTTCGAAAGTGTATTAGATGTTTGTGGAAACATAAAAACACCCATGCAGACGTTTCTCTAGCAAGTGATCCCAGACCTAAACTAGGCTGAGAAAGGTTGGGACAAAGATAGTCATAAGAGTTGGTTCCGAAAGCATTGAACAAAATAAAAGTTAGGAGGACTTGTTGACATCTTCTAAGCACCACCTGTAAAAATCTAACAAAAATAACGCATACACCTTTTTTACTTTTGGATTTACCAAAAGCAGAAACACTATTGTGGGATTATTTGGAAATGTCATCCCTTTTGTCTCAACGCTGAAATAAAGGCACTTGAATATGGAGTTGAATATGTCATGGCCTCTTTCTTTCTCCGTTTCTTTGCATTTAGACCTTTAGCAGACACACTCCATCATCTTCAGTAAATGACTCATCTAAGGCTCAGCAGACAATGTTCCTAATGTTCAGAGGGCAGACAGCCAGAAGTCAGCCAGGCAGTCAAATCAATTCCTTAACTCGACCTCATATGTAAGCAAGTGAAACACTTTTATATTAGCAGTCCTTCTATCATCCCAACCTGTGAAGCTCTTGCCCTAGAAAACCAACATTTAAAAAGCGAGTCATGCAATCACGCTGCACTCTCACCTCTATCCGAATGTAATACAAAATGTATGTTTTTCACATAAAAGTGATAATTGCACAGTAAAATTACAAATAAAAGTGTCTGTATTGCACATTGCAGATTTTCCAACAATCAACACCACAGAATTTATTTAAATGGTTAACTGTTTATGTGATTTAAACTAGTGATCGGTCGGGTCGAGTAATCCAGGAGGTTTTTTGTGAAGCGAATATCGAGGCTTGTATCGTTTTAGGCCAGGAAAGTCATTGATGCCTCGTTGCCCGTCGATACCATGTGACTGGTTCAGATTGGTTAAATCCACTGATGCTTAACAGTTCTACAACAAGTCACTATAATAAAGATCACACTGTTGAGATGTCCTGTCTGCCTGTTTCACACTCTTTGAGGGTTTGTGTTAAGCAAATTAAGCCTTGAGAAATAAGTATTTTACAAACCAATTGGCTGGAAAGCTTGAAAGCTTCACAAAGCTTCATCTGACATGTTTTAGCACAGTTAACACAGGAATTTTTTTATATTAATAATTTTATTTGTCTTTGGGTCACCCTGGCCATTGGGGGAGGTTCCTTCCTGGTTCAGTGTATCCTTTGGCTGAGGGTTGAAGACTGCTAAATACTGAAGCAGCCATTTGGGCCGAACCATGGGATTTCATGTCAAGGGGGGGGGGGGGAATCAGTCTTTTTTGTATGGTCTTTTGAACTGGTTTGGTATAAGGTTTGGCCAAGCTATATATCTTCAATTTGTTGTTATTTTCTGTTGGCCTCTTTTAAAAGGCACTAGTTAGTACGTTTCTTCTACCGCCCGTCTACAGAGACAAAGAAATGTAGGGCCATTGCCAAAGGCAGAGCCAGAAGGAGAACATAGAATTCATTTTTTTTCCATTTGTCACCATGGGGAAATAAATGTCTGTTTTTAAAAAACTATGTTGAGAGGTGAGGGGGTCCCCTGTGCGTCATAATACATAATAACCCTCTGTGTGCAGCCATCAAAAAGGAATGAGGTTACATGGTTGATGCACGCTATCCTTGCCAGTGTACGGCAACAAACGTGTTGGTTAAAGTGTAGCTATTTTATAAAAGTACAGTTTCAAAAACAGTTCCAAAAGTGGATGAAAGGGGACCTATTATGCATTTGTCATGTCTTTTATACATAAACATGTGTCCTCTCTGTGTAAAGAGATTCTGAAAGTTTCAGAAAAAAAGATTCGCTCACTTTTTGTCCTGAACCATTTGAATAAAAACCTGATTTTGGCGACTTTATGATGTCATAACGATTTTTTTTGGCTTGTGTAACCTTTAGCCAATTAACCAACCAAGGTAGGTTCTGAGTGCAATCATGTAGTTTGAACAGAAGCATATAATCTACCAGCAGGGGGCTTCTTGAAGAAACATGCTCTTGAATAAAGATAGGAATAAAACCTGTATGTAGAGTGGTGCAGTAATGAGTCCTAAAACCCCCAAAAAGACTAATCATTAACCACTTCTGGTTCCCTTTTCTTGAATGATATGCTATTTTGAACGTGTTTGCGGATAGAAGGCTGAAATAAGGTGTGTGGTCAACACACGCTTTCACATTGCTTCTACAAGATAAAATACGTCAGTAAAAACTCCACTTGTGAATGTCCGAAGCATCTATGTGTTGGTGCACACGACGCGAGTCCGCCTTTAGAATAATAGTGGTGATGCGCAACTATTCTGTGATGTAGTGCGTTTATAGCCTATCATTAGCTTTTTACTTCCGCCCATTGCATTTATGCTTGAAAACGTACAAAGCGGTGTTTTTAAGTGGAGATTATGCGTTACGTATCATAAACTAGTGTTGGCCACAAAGCTTCTCTGCTATGTACTGAAATCCGGGGAAATCAAATTGCTTTTCGACGAGGGACCCTTTGTGATGCTAACTTCCTACAAAGTATGTCAACACTGCATCAGTCTATAGGGAAGCAAAGAAGAGGATCCATATGGAGAGGCACAGTATCAGGTTCAGGGTTAGCAATAAGGCACTCACTTTTACTTTACATTTACCACAATGTATGGTGTGTGTGTGTGTGTGTGTGTGTGTGTGTGTGTGTGTGTGTGTGTGTGTGTGTGTGTGTGTGTGTGTGTGTGTGTGTGTGTGTGTGTGTGTGTGTGTGTGTGTGTGTGTGTGTGTGTGTGTGTGTGTGTGTGTGTGTGTGTGTGTGTGTGTGTGTGTGTGTGTACCTTGGCGCTGCTGTCAGAGTGGCGTCGGGAACACAGCTGGAGTTGAGTCATCCATAACTCTTGCTCCTTGGCGTCCAGTGCTATCAGGAACAGAACACAGAGGCACAGAATCAATGTGAGTGTTTCCTGCTGTCTGTCCCTGGGCCGGGAAATCAGCTACATCGAAGGTTATGTTTTTTTACTGTGCTTTAACTGTTAACCTGTTGGTTAGGCCCCAAGCCTGTTTTTCAGGCTCGGAAATGACATTCCCAGAACAAATGAATATCTTTACTTCTAAAAGGGGTACATTCATCATCTTTTTCTCAAAGCAATGATAAACCTGTGAGTTGGATGTAGAAAAGTCAGAATCAATATAGATGTTTTTATTTTAAAGTCAATTCAGATTGAACATAGTAAAACAATTTAAATTATAGTTTCCGTCCAAAAACACCCCATTACTTATAGTGAAAACCACCCTTGAATGATGGGATAGTAGACTAAAAGCTTTAGGAATCCAAACTATAACATAATAAGTACCCTGTATCAAGATTGATGCAAAACAAGTTAAATGTGACCTTTTTAGAGAGATTTAGAAAGAAAAAAACACTTCTGGGTGGATTTGCCATATCTCTGGAACCCATCGGTCGATTTTGATGATTGACACCACTTTTGAACCATTAGAGCCAATAGAATCGAGGGGAAGTTCCTAAATCCATCTAAACATTACCATTGGTGAATGAGTGATGCGTAGCCAGCATGCCCAAAACCAGAAGCTCTCATACACTCTCGTAGCTCTCATAGCAGCTATATATGAAAACTTCGGTTATTGCCATAAATGTCATGATGGATTATCAGTAATCATTTCAAAGTGACACAGACACATTGGATTAACCTTCAGCAGCGTTGTATGCGTTTTAATGCCATTGAACACAACTTTGATCAGAAAACAGCAAAGGTAAGACGTATTTGCCGTTTTGGCTACGTAAAGCTAAGTTGTGTGTTGTCTGGTTTTGCCTTCGCTGCCCTGAGTGTTGGAGTCGTGGAGTGATGATACTTATACCATTGGAATCTGTGGAATCTCAGCTTTCATATGATATCTTGTTTGTGCCGATCCGATTAAGTATAACATATTTCTACATTGAGTTATGTGCTAAGTGCGTTAGCACTCTTTCGCTTAGTGCTCATTCAGAGGCTTGGCGTTAGAGTTGTGTTTTGTTTAGGTAAAAATTGTTCATATCGTCAGGTAGCTGAGTTTCTTCCCGTTAAGTGGGTATGACACATTAATAGGTTGTTAAATGTTAAGAAGCCCTCAGACGCTGTTTCTTGCAAGATGTTGCGTTTAACCTCTTAAGCCCTGAGCCTGTTTTTCAGGTTTCAGGCTCGAAAATGCCACTAACACAACAAAGACTATATCTTCACTTCTAAAAGGGGTAAATTAATAATCTTTTCTCTCAAAGCAAGGTTACATCTGTAATTTGGGAACCATCAGTTCCATTTGAACTTTTTCACTGTAAAAATCATTTTATTACTTAGAATGATCACTATAGGTATTCATTCCCTCAAAATACAACTGTTGTGAAAAAATAAAATAAAAAACATACTCTGTTATCCTCTTAGGCCCCACGGACCCGAAATCGCGTCATTTGCAGGAAACAACGTCTAAGGAACCTTAATATTTAATAAACTATGAATATTTTATATCCATATAACGGGAAAAACTAATTTAACTGATCTTTTAAAAAAACATTTTTTTAAAACACACAATGTTAACAGTGAGCCTCTGAATTAGCCCCGAGCGAAACATGCTAACCTATTACTGCACCGAAAATCACTCCTAGCTCCCTTATTACTTATCCTAGCTGCACATCCAACACATTGTTTATGATCGTAAAGACACAGAATCTAACGGTGCCCACCTCAACACTGAAAGATACAAACTCGCGACGTTATCAACAAAAACGTACATCAAAACAAGTGGCGCTAGGTACTAACATGCGCTAGGCTAACATGGCTTACCTTGGTCTTTGTCTGGTCTAAACTGGTCTTCAATGGCATTAAAACGATAAAAAACGATGATGTAGTTAATCCATAGGTTAATATCCAATGTGGCTGTGTCCCCTTTGAAATGTTCTGATAATCTATAAGCAATAAAACTGCAATTCCGTTATCTGCTGTCCGCTCTGTGCTCCGTGCGCTCTGGCTCCTGCAATTCCTGCTTCCTTACGTAGTAAACAATAAGTAAAGTCTGCTGCGTAATGTGCTTACGCTGGCTGGCATTCTTTATACTTTACGCAGGACCATATCTCTGGAACCCATTGGTCGATTTGGGTGATTTACACCTTTTTCTTAACCATTACATCCAATAGAATCGATGGGCAGTTCCCAAATCCACGTAAACATTACCATTGCGGACATAATAGAGAAGCAAACGAAGCATATCTGAAAGTACAAGCCTGGACGGCAAAACTTTATACCCAGTATATTGCCATAAATATGATGATGGATTATCAGTAAAAAATTCTACGTGACACTGTGAGGGATTAATTTTGTCTTTACTTAAGATATTTGACCTTTCGGCCTGTTGACGTTTACGACGAAGCCAAAGTCTGTTATCTGTCTTAAGGAATGGGAACTGTCAGCTATTGCTGCCATTATCAGTTTTATGACCGGTCAACTCTCGGTCACAAGAGCCATAAAGTCAAATAAGTAATTCAGTACCTCCAGGTGGTCACGTACACCTTCCCCCCAATATGTGAGTTGACTCTGAGTGAAGCTAATTAAAGTTCTGCCAAGATGAGAAGGGATTCAGAATTGACATGGCAACCCACCGGTGCAGTCAGAACTTTCTGCTGCTGTGACTTGTGATATGAATTCTCCGGCCGATGCTTGTAATAAACTGCCAGTGTTTGACATCAGAACTCCTGCTCGTCCCGTGTCTCTCTGAGTCCTGACTCTCCATTGCTACAGAAGTTTCCCTTACAGACACAAAGACATTGGATTAACCTTGAGCGGCGTTTTTATTCCGTTGAACACAACTTTTGATCACAAATCAAAAAAGGTAAGACGTAATTATTGTAATATTTTTGAAACCGGATGTTGTTTACTTTCTCTTTTCTGACTGATAGCTCCGGGAATTCGGGGTCGTACAGTGATGACATTACATGTGTGGAATCTGTGGAGTCTCAGCTTTAATCGGATATCTTCTTTGTGCAGTTACGATAAGTAATAAGGGCATTTCTACCGTGAGTGCTGTGCAAAAGTCCGTTAGCATTAGTTAGCATTTTTTCGCTCCATGCTAATTCAAAGGCTTGGTAATACTCTTGTGTTTCTTTTAGCTAAAAATGGTTCATATTGTCAGTTAGCTGAGTTTCTTACCGTTAAAAGGATATGGAACATTAATAGTGTCATAGATGTTAAGAAGCCCTGAGACATAGTCTCTGGGGGGACCCTCGGGCTTAAGAGGTTAACCCCCGGGGGCGGGGGCTTAACAGGTTTTAAAGGGGAGGTGTGCTCTAATTCAAACTTTTCTAATTGTCCACACATTTCTTGAAAACACCCAACACATCTAGCAATTGATCCTACTAACAAGTATTGTGTGTAAATCCAAAAGCGATAAACCTATACAGTATATATATATGTATCTGGGCTTTCTCTGGGCTGCTTCTTGGAAACTATCATGGACTGAACAAATTCTCTTCCCTGCTCAAACAAATTGCTACTTGTACTCTTGTTTATCTTAATTAGTGTAATAACATAAGCTCTGCTATATAAATATTGCTCTGCCTCCATTACAACTCTGGCACTAACAACTGTTTGTAATAAGGCCTCTCTGATGGAACAGATTGTAACAATGTGTTTGATAGGAAATGTAATATTGCATTATTAAAGTTCCTGGTACATTGTCCCTGCATCAGAAACCAGACAACAAAGAACAAATAGCGGTCTGGACTGGTTTATCTTTGTTTTGCTGCTGATGAGATGAAAGCTTTGGAGGCTACACAGAGGAGGGACAAACATAGCTGATCTGGATTTAACACAGCCTCGCTAAAAAGCCATCAGTGTGACAAAGAGAGGGAGGAAGAGACAGAGATGGACAGGCGAGGAAGCATGTGAACAGGAAATCACAGCTGTCACATATGGAGATTAGCAATTCATACAACTCTGACAGTCACACAGGAATACTTCGGCCCTGGAGCACTTGGTATCTGAAAGGTGCCAACAACACATTTCAAGGACTGTCTTCTTTCATCTCACTTTGCAAAAAACACATAGGCATATCCTCCCTCCAAACGATGCATAAAAACAAGTCCATGTATTTGTGACTTTAAAATTGAGTATTGTACTTCATAATTATCAGACTGTACCAAAGACACTCTTAAGACACTTAAATTGATTAAAATGTGGCGTCACGCGTATTGACAAGAATGAGGAAACATATCATATTACTCCTGTATTGGCTGCGGTGCAGTTACTCCCTATCAAATCCAGAATAGAATTTAAAATTCTCCTTCTTGCCTACAAGGCCTTTAATGGTCAGGCACAATCTTATTTTAAAGAGCTCAGGCAAAACTTGACCTTTTGGAAAGGTAGGCAAATGCCGTAGGCCACAAAAAGCTATAGACTTATATTTGGATTTAGATATGAAAAACATTGATTTAAGTTACTATTCTTACTCATTGTTCCCCAAAATAACAGATCCAATGATACTCAAACACAAATTTTTAAATGTTTAACTGCCAGAAAAATGTAACAGGTGATTGGCTCCCAACATGATGCATTATTATTCATTTAACTATGCAACATTGTGTTAGAATTGAAAGCCCCACCTTAAACAGTTGTTAAGTTAAATCAGGTACATTGTGCTGATAATGCTTTATTTCAATCTCCACTTGAAGCACTATTTAGTATGACTTTTACTTAGTGGTATAAATAGTTCACTACTATTTTACTTTAATACGCAGCTTAGTCAAATACTCAATTCTGATTTCAGAAGTATTTAAAAGCAGAAATAATTTGGTAAATTCAACGCCAGCTGTGGATGACAAACATTAGTTTTCTCCATCAGAAAACCGTATAGAATACATTTTGAATATTCATTTTGATATTTGTGGAAAACATCAAACTTTGGATATGTTGCCGTGGCCGCAGTTCGGACGTTGGTAGGCAATGCAACGGAAAACATTTTTCTAAGAGGGAGAAATAGGCGCATTCACACCGCAGTACTTTTCCCACAAAGGTTCATCAGAACTTAGTTCATGAGAACTCTTCACACCGGAATAAATCCCTGAGGGACGGATTAGACAAAAGGAAGCTGCTGACGTCACTTCTTCTTCTTCTGCTTTGGGTTTACTGGCAGGCCGCAAACAACTTCACGGTGTATACTGCCACCCAAAGTCCCCGGCCGGAAGTCCCCGGAGTTGGGGACTGGCTTCAGTAGAAGCTGCTGGGACTCCCAGCAGCTTCTACTGAAGCCTTCCTAGTAAATCGCCAGAACGCCGACACCTCCTCAACACTCCACCGCTCCCATGTTTTCTTTTGTGTTGCCATAAATTAGTCTCTCTGCGTTTGTGCGCTGGGCTAATGCTAATGCTAATAATGCTAATGCGAGGATAATAAAATGGCGGCTTCACAAAACGTTTTGGGAGTTTTACGGGGCGTGGTTTGCAATCCGCCCAGCCAATCAGACATAAGAACCTTTTTCTCCCACGAAAGTCCCTGCTCTCTGAAAAGGGGGTAAAAAGGTTCTCATGAACTAATTTTAGTTCCGGCTCTTTTTGGTGTGAACGCGACATTTCTGAACTATATCGGAACTAAAGTGGGAAAAGTACTGCGGTGTGAACGTGGCTAATATGATCACTTCGCGTCAGGATCCTAATCACCATTTTAATAACCACCTCGTTGCATCCCTTACATAAATCTCCTTAGAACAAATATATTTTTCTTCCATTACTGCCAATACCAACATTCCCAGCTAGATAAAGTATGAAATTAAAGCAAGACTCCAGGAAAGTCGAGTAGAGTCCGGTTGTAAGGTTAGTTATTATGTGTTTGGACGTAATTCTCTTACCTCTGAGTTTGTAGGAATCCTCAGTAGTGGACTGAATGGTAAACATGTATTGAAACTCATCAGCTGAGACCACCACGGCTCCTAAGAGAGGCATAGACCCTCTGGGCGGTCGCTGGCTCTTACTCAGTTCATTCAGATGATATTGGAGCTGACCAACCTCTGGATCCAGAACAAAATATCTGCAGGAGAGAGAAGTGAAAGAGAGATGAAGAGAGTTTTAAAAGAAAAAACAAGAGATGGAGAGCGGTGTGACAGAGAGAGAAGGGCTGGTTTGGGTGTTGGGGTTGGAGTCTCAGCTATTAAATCTACAAATATTTCACTAATTTCAACATGAAACAAATGTGGCTATTTAGGCTAACCGCTTTGGCTAGAAAGAGCTTTAGTTTTTGGTTGTTCTTAATAATTTGCCATTGGCTTAAAAAGCATGCGTTTGCCTTAGGTTACCAGTTAAATTCATCACTTTATCTGCAAGTTTATGCTTGTTGAATGAATTGTTTGAAAGAAAAATCTTGTTGGGTCCTACGGCATCAAGTATAGTTGACATTTACTTAGGTTAACGTATCTAGCTGAACCCAGGGAGGGACTGGGACTGAAAATCGTCCCTGAACTTCGACCCAGCCCAGCTCACAACAATTACGGCTAAATTGTGGCTGGATTCAAATGTTATGTTACCACTCTCAATGATCGCTCTTTAGCCAGAATTGGCCCAGCAGGATAGTTAGTAAACCACTCTGCATTGATATAAGAATGAATGTAGGTGATTCTTACAGTATCTGCTGCTCACAGCTGATTTATAATATAAAAAAGCTCCTTCACTTCATGAAATCCCTGCAGCATGTAAAAGCAGAAAGAATGATGAAGCCTCTGAGATGTGCCACACCAGCACAGATAACTTGATTAGATCTGCTGAAAGAAAGCTGCTGCTATATAACCACACCCAACTCTACACAGCCAGATGCCCCGGTTATAACTTCACATTCTGCAAGTAGTGTTTTTCCTTTTCCAAAATACTGTTTTTTCCTTTTCCAAAATACTGTTTTTTCCTTGGAAACATTGCGTTGTACCGATGCGCTCCGGCAGCTCTAACCATGTCTTAACAAAGTGCTCAAAAGTCACTATTTCTTAAGTGATGGTAGAAATAAAATACCTTTTGTTGTTGACCTAAGTGACTACAGGAGGTCCAAGAATAGCAAGCCACATGAATGGGAGCAAATGATTTCTTAATGCTCTTAATATTTTTTTATAATGGCTTGTTTTATGTTTACTTGATTCTCTTTTTAATGACTGTTTTTAAATGCCATTTTATAATGTGTTACCACTGCACTATTTCTTATCTCAAGGTTTTTCATTTTTGTGAAGCACTTTGAATTGCCTTGTGTTGAAAGGTGCTACTGTATATATAAATACACTGGCCTTGCCTTGAAAATGCAGCAGCAGTGCTTTAGATTTGCTTTACCCTAATCTGAAATTAGGGTATCAGCAAATATATCTTTACTTGGCAATCATGATATTTAAAGGAACAAACACATAATTATACATGTATGCCGCGATCAGTCGCACTTGACTAACAGCCGTACTGTGATTCTCCAGAACACAGATGGCCAGAGCGCCCCTGGCTGAACCTCATCGTGTCATTCACCCCCTTTTTGGCCTCTGTTTGTTCTCAGGCATGACAAACCATCACTTACATTTGAACCATTTTCCAATAAAGTAGCCTACCAATAAACTGAGCAACATCAAAAAATCTTCAAATCAGAACCAAGTTTATTAAGAAGTATGTTTATACTGTACAGACACACACATGGCTTGCACAGCATAAGGAGTCCCACATGGGGATGGAGGTGGGAGGGGCTACGTTCTTCCTGAGGTCTTTTACCATCTCTACAGAGTGTTTAACTCTAACTTAGTATTTCTTTCACAAGATCACCAAATGGTGAATCTCCCACCTGTGGACAGGCTGACCCTCACCAGAGGTCCAATGAGTTCAGTAAGGTAAGCAATTCTAAAACATTGGTGATCTCTTAACTTTCCATGTATTTGTCTGAGACTGTAAAGGGTAGGATTTTATAAAGTGCGTTTAGAGTCTTCCAGCCTCCAGTGCTTTCACACCGCATGTTAATTCTTACACTGACGGCAGCTGCCATACAAGGTGCGAAACTGCTCAACATCTAATCCAATTTTATCTCGTTCACACACTCTCAAACACCAATACTTTGGCACCTTTGGGGAGGGAAAAGATGCAAGAAAAAACACCTGGTATGCTATTACTTGTACAGACTTAAAGGTCACCTATTGTGCAAAATCCACTTTCTCATGTCTTTTATACATCAACTTGTGTCCCCCCTGTGTAAAGAGATTCTGAAAGTTTCAGGAAAAAATATTTGCTCACTTTTTATCCTGATCCATTTATATAAAAACTTGTCTGAAAATGAGCTGATCAGATTTGGGCCACTTTATGATGTCATAATGTTTTTTTGGCTTATGTCACCATTAGCCAATAACCAACCAAGGTAACAGAGTAATGATTTTTTGTAATATAAATTCTATATTATAGAACTATGGATATTAAAAATACGCAATAACCAATTATCTTTGAAAGAATATGTTGGCTACTTTATATATTTATGCTAATTTCCAGGTTCAAATGTGTGTTTTGGGCATGTTGTGCGACATGTTTACATGCTTTAATTATCAGAAATGTCTTTATTTTTCTTTTGGAATAGAAGAACCAATAGAAGCGCGAGTGATACATGGTGATGTCACTTTGTTTGGGAAATAAACAAAGGAGTCCAACGGAGCCGTTTTAGGCAGGGGGGGAGGGAGTGTGTGGGAGAGAAACTCCCTCTGGAGGGAACTTGGGGATTTTAGCCTTTGCAGAACATTTACATGCATAAAAACCTGTATAAAACACTACAGGAAAGGTTAAGACCTGAAAAATATAGCAGGTGCCCTTTAAATTCAGAGACACCGTGAGGGAGTGAGACACAAATTATTGTAACATCCTCTGCAGCGTGGTGGGGAGAAACAACATAAAAGCACATCCATTGAGAGTCAGTGTCATGCACTGGTTGTATTATTTTATCTCTCCCCTTTGAATGTCCTTCTTACACTGTCTCTGTTTTCCTCTATTTCCCACTTTCACCCTCTCAAACACACACACTATCATAACTGCTGTTAGAGCAGTATTGCTCAGTCAGCATTCTCCTCCAGTTATGAGCGAGAGGACAAATCTTATTCCATCTCTCACTGGAGCTCATATGCAAGCAACTGAGCGCTGAGTGATTTTACCCTTGAGTCTTTAACATGGTCATAAAGCAGTATCTCTCAGCACTGATAAGAACCACTGATGGAGGGAACAGCAGAAGCAGGAAGAAAGAAAGAAAGAGAAAGGGTGCTACAGGGAAAGAGAACCAAGTTTACTCGAAGACAAAGAAACCAAGCAATGAGAAGAAAGAGAACGCTATGAATAATTTAAATCTGTTTTCACACAGCAATCTGTTTCCTCTGCTCCACGCTGTCGTGTGATTGTGTGGAATGCAGTGGATCCAACTCAGACCTCCTTTCTTTTACACATGTAAATGATGAGCAAGCCATAAAGCAGTGTAGATCAATCACCTCCTGTCTACTTCCTGTTTGTGTAGCAGTTAGGGTGAGGCGTGCTACGTTAAACTGTCCGGCTTCAGATGCAACTGGGAACATGGCAGAGCATAAAGCATGTTAAGAATGCTGACACATGCATGGAGAATGCCCCTCAGTCCTCAAAATAAACCACAAAATTAAGAATGCACTTCAGAATGTCACATAGAATCCTTTTTCAGCCGACCGCCTGTGGCAAGTAAAAAAAATCACTGTGACATCTGTTTTATAATGAGACAACACAATGGTAAAGATGTGGTTTAGAGAATGATCACGGTACAAACCGTTAATGGACCCAGAACAGGTAGGAACCCACAACCCAAAGAGACACATAAGGGTCAAAATACAATAAGGCTTATTCCAAAAATAGGCAGCAGTCCAAACCCAGAGAGCCAAACAAAGCAATCAAAGTAAACCATGCAGTGAGAAGCGCTAAATAAATAATATAACATCAGCAAACAAAAGCAAAATCTGCAATATGCCAAAAATAGCCGGATGTCACTGAAGGAGATTTCAAGTATGCATCTGACCAGTCTACCTTGGCCTGCTTTGTCACACAATGAAAAGTGATAGCAAGGTCATCACAAAAGGTTGAAATTGCAGACAGTAACAAACTATAACACATATATTATTTCAATCAATTTCTTTCTCTGGATAATGTATAGAGTGGTGAAGAGTCCCAATTTTTTTTTTTTTACATTTTTCATTAGTTTTACCAAAATAACTTGGTTTAATTGTGTTTAAAATAACATTTCGAAATAAATAAATCCTTCGAATCTGCCTGTTCAGTTTCTGTTGGAATGTGAAGGGTTAAATGCCGTCTCTGTGAGTTATGTGAAGACGGGAGGGCTTGTTGGTCCCTCTCTACATTCACAGAGGGCCCGGGTTGCGTTCCGATAATCCAAAAATCAGCTCCTAAATTCTAACCCTATCTCCTATTCCTTGACCTCTGAGTGAAACGTCACGGGGTTAAGAGATAGTGGATAGGATAATTCAAAAGGATTTAGGAGAAGAGACCGCGGTACTTTAGAGAATCCGAATGCACTTTCACTATCCGACGTGTTTATGATGCGCCAGCGGACGTCATGAATGTGCGTCTGCTGCTGTGGGGAAACTATGGAAACTACAGTTTTCTATACAGCGGACTACAACATGGATGTTCAATAAGAACGAGGGACTACTGTAAACTCATCTAGAGACTCTGCACCGTGCTCTAATGCTGTTGCTTTATGCTTTATGAACGTGGACAACAGAGAAACATATTCTTCATGACCAAAGTTGGAATTGAAATAAAAAAGGAAAGTGAAACTTATGCTCGTCACCCTCTCCCTCCGGTCCACATTAATACAAATGATCCCAATACGTATGATTGTATGAACTATGAAAATATCTTAAAATCAATAAAAATGTATTTATTATAAACGTTAGTCCTTAACATCTATCACACTGTGTATCACCATTCAAACATCTTTTAAAAGTTGAACAAACCCCACACAGCTCAGTAAAGACTGTGAGATGTTGACTTTATTTGATCATTTCAGTAAAAACTAACGTTCATATTTCTCTTTTTGATTATAATACTGATGAACGTTCAGAAAAAAGCACTTTGGCAACTTACCACATACGTTTTAAAATGCTTAATAAGCACCGTAACTTTCATGATATAATTTCTCCGTCATAATCGGTTGTTTCCGTGAACGGCCGACTGTTGAGTGACGGCAAATGCTGCGGCTGCAATGCATTGTGGGGCAGCATTTTCTCCTCTCCTTTCGGTTAGGGAGGTCCAGTGGTTCCTAAGCTAAAGGAGGTTATAAAGGAAGTTTGAAACCTCCTTTCCTTTCATTTGGAGAATTGGAACGGCACTTATCATGGCTGCCAGTGACGTACTTCCGGGTCATTTCACTCCGTTAGGAAGGTTCCTCAGCTAAATGGACTATTGGAATGCAACCCGGCTATAGTAACTCAACGAGAGAGTAATGTCAAATGACAGTACAATTGACCAATCATATCTTCCCTCTAAATGGGTGAGCTTTATTATCGCGGACTTTATGACAAGTTCCGCCCGCTGTGAGGTCTATGCAAGTGGTGCAGTGACGCATCCTAAAACCCGGAAGTAAGCTGCGCTCGGATTCCCTCGACAGAAAGCAATGGGATTTCTCCATAGGGTTTTGGAAAATAGCTCAAAATAAGGTCTGTGGAAAACGAACCTGTTAGATAAATGCAAGTTTTGTTCAGCCGGATAATATCCACATGTCTACCCTACTTTTATCATTTTCGAATCATAAATCTAATCAATAGATTTATGATCGATATATTTATGATTAGCATAAGTTCGTTCATGATGGCTCATGTCAGTGATAGTGATGACATCGTTGCGAAATTATTAACCGAGTCATTTCCAAGATGGAGTTCCAATGATAAACTGGAGTGGCAAAGGATCAGCTGAATGACCCGCCGCGCCATCAAGTGCTTCATCCAAAAGGACAGGAGGATGGACTTTGTGTTTGAGTGATTTGATCATCAAAGGTAGGCCTAAGTCAATTACATTTGTAATTGTTACTTGGCTGTGGGTGCCCTGTCATGATAGGTGTTTATATAAATCATGTTGTTTTGTGTGGTAGAGGGTCTCTGTCATTGATGCATTTTGCATCCCGGGCCGCTGTTTTGATATTCCGCTGAAGTATACACCGTGACGTAATAACTCTTATTTTTTTTCGAGGGAAGTGGGGGGTCAGAGGGCCTAGGTATAAAAGTCACGGCTCGCCACTGAGTTAGGGATGTAGGCAACAGCTGTTTTCACCTTTGAAGAGAGTTGAGGAATAAACCAAATTCAAAACCTGATACACCTGTCAACTTGGTAGGATGGGGCAGAAGGCTTGTCATGAGAAACTTGTGGTGTAATCCTTTATGATTAAATAGTCATCCTCCTCAAAGTGGTGAAGCGAAAAACTAAATTGGCAGGATATGGCATCTTTGTAATGACATCAGACTAGCCATTAAAGGAAGGAAGTGAGGTCATTTGACGGACAAGAAAGCAGTTCTTATCCACGTTGTCTTCTGCAATCCAAGGAGGGTGAAATAGGAGCTGAATTAAATGCTTGGGCAGTGAGTGTATTGATCTCTCTCCAACCCTGACACCTCACTCATCTGTCAGCAAGGTGTCCAGCCAACCTTTAGATCATGTAGCTCTCGCTATCTCTTAAATCTATCAGAGGATCGGAGCGGCTACTAAAAGGTTTGAGAGAGGAGAAAGAGAGAACAGTTCATTTAGATCAGGGGTCGGCAACCCCTGGCACGTGTGCCACCACTGGCACGTGGGACCGTAACCAGTGGCACACTAGGAATACGTGTGTAAAATATTTTAAATTGTACTTTCGGATCCTGAACGAGACCACCGGCAGAGCGCGTCTCCCCCTGCAGAAGGAAGCCATGCACGCAACGCAGCGCAGAAGGATAACCCCGCTCTCTTGAACTCCAGTCGACTTTCTGCTGCTTTCCTCCATGGTGAAACGACCAGGGGTATAGCGCACTTCACACATTGCAGTACCCATAAGGAGCTGTACATACCGCAGTTTTTGCGTGTCTGTGTCTTTAGTTGAAAGCCCAGTGGCGATCTGCTCATCTGTCATCGAAAATAATATGCTACACAGGGGTGGACTGGCCAACTGTGTGTTCTGGAGAATCACAGTACGTCCGGCCGTCAGAGAACCGTGCCGGTCGCCAGCGGGCCGTTGACGACCGGTCTCGGTTCGCTGACGGCCGGCACCGCCCTTTATTTATTTAACTGTGTTTAAACGGCATCATGTTGCGCTGACAGGCGACAGAGGTCCACAGCTTCACCCCAAATTGCAGTGAGGCTCCCCCCGCCCTCTAGTTGACAGTTCACGAGCAATTTGAGGTGAAGTGTCTTGCCCAGGGACACAACGGCATGCTGACTGCAGTGGGACTCGAACTTGCTACCCCCTCATTCGAAGTCCAGCCACAGCCGCCCCTTATCTTGACTATCAGATCTCTACCAAAGCATTGTCTGGTTAAGGTGTTCTCTGTATTTTTCTGTTGCATTCTTAACCATTTCTCAAATGTTTTCCGTTCTTGAAAATTAACTGTTTGTACTCCAACTTTGTGTCACTTCGAATAAAAAAAAAAAGATGGTGATGGCCAAAAACCAAGATGGCAAATGTCAAAATGCCGAACTCGTGATCCAAAACGCCAGTCTAGTAACCAATGGGTGACGTAATATACAGTTGAATCTGAAATGCCCACTGGATGTCCGTCTGAGCTCTCCTCCCCATGGATCCTACTCATCAGCTCTCCAGCGTCTGGGCCGGCCTCCCAAGCAGCTCTACTTGTCCGTCTCAGTCCCCCTCAACCCCTTTACCCAGCCCCTGCTTCTATCTCCCTGACCATTCAGTTCCTTCATTTACCAGAACTTTCATTTTCCAAATGCACGCCAGATTTAGTTTCTTCCTTTAATGCTTACGTGTCCAACTTCAATAAACTGTGTTTCACTAACACATCTGTTACCAGGCATTCATCTAATGATCAACTACTCCTACTACTTCTCTGCTCATAAAAGTGAATCCCACATTGAATAGTTTCCAATAGTAATCATAGTAATTCTATCATATCCCAAATAAATTACTCTTAGATTAATCGGATTATTGTCTCAGACCTGTCAGCTGTTATCTAGTGCACAAAATGCCCCAATTTCTTCAATTAGGCCAGCATATCACTCCCAACAGAACATATTGAAATAGTGTTGTCTCCAGAGACTTTGGTGGAACCCCTCGCAGCAGCCGTTCACCAACACAACATTCGAATGGATTTCTTATTTTCATGACTTTCGCAGACTCCATCAAATGTACTTGTTTTGGTCTTTGATTGTATTTACCTTAATTCAAGTTTAGACAAGTAGAATCAGGCCTTTCACATGTTGTTTTGACTGGAAGTGTTTTTTTTATTTGGTTTCTCATTTATTTTGTGCAGGGGACACTTGTAGAAGAGATGTTTTGTAGTTTGGGATTCTTATAGTGTTTTCTCATGTTGTCTATTTTACCATGATTTTCTTGTGTCGCTTGGATTGTTTAATAATTGTTATTACCATTATTATTGTATTCATTTTTGTTGAAATGTCTGTTATTTTCAATGTTTTGTGAGGTCCCCCCTGGATGTCAACGTTACTTTAAAAACGTCACACAATAACAAAAAATGTAGTGCAGTTCAAAAATGTTATCCTCAAATTAGAATATGGAACATTTTAAATATATATTTGTTTTTGTCTCCCTTTTTTCTGTCCGGTCCCCTTTACTATTTTGTAAAGTATGTCCTTCTTGTCCTGTGTCTGTATATATATATTTCATCACTGACTATCTGTTTCCTATATAGTAGGAAGTTATTAAATGTTTTCTTTTTGCACATTTAAAAAAAGCACAGAAAGCAAAGAAGTGCTTTGGCTCTAGCAGTCAAACGGAAAGAGACTACATGATTAATCAAGGCAGAATGTCTTGGCTCAGTGAAAGCAGCTATAACTCTCTGGTGCATATTCTCTGTCAACCACCTTGTCACAACAACCAACAACAACTGCATCCCTGCTGACAGACTGAGAACAACAATAACGTCACAATCAGTGTGATGAAACTGTTTGTCTCAGTTTGCAGAGTGAAGGCTCAGATCAGGGTTTAATGAAGAAGGGAGATATTTATAACGTAATTGTAACACACACACAAACTGAGTCGAGTACAGCAGTGTGGGACAGAGAGGGACAGAGAGGGAGTTTGTGTGTGTGTGTGTGTGTGTGTGTGTGTGTGTGTGTGTGTGTGTGTGTGTGTGTGTGTGTGTGTGTGTGTGTGTGTGTGTGTGTGTGTGTGTGTGTGTGTGTGCGCGCGCGCACGCAGGGGGTTGGTATAAAGATACAGGAGTGGAGCAGAGGGCTTTCCTAATCTAGGATGACTCATTCAGTGTTTCTGGGACTTCCACCCCCTCGTCTCCTCTCACAGAGCCTCTCCACAGAGTGCAGCTGAATGAATCCTGAACAGTGCACAGAGCAGAGGAGTGAGTGGAAACATGATCTTATGGTGTTTTTCACAGATTTAGTGTGATGTGTCCCCAAATTGGCATGATGTAACTTAGATGAAATGAAAAATATAAAAATGGTTGTGGATCCTTGTGTATGTCTTTAATTGTACAGAGATTTTGATTGAGGGGTGCAGGGATCAACACAATATAATGGAGCGAAATAGATTGCTTTGTTAAAAAGGCTTGAAACAGGTTTAAGACTTTTATGTTGCAAAAATATATAGGGTTATCGGAATTATTGGGGATGTTTTCAGCTGGATTTTTATAAAAATTAAATGATAAACCTGATAAATTCAAGTTTAAGTAAAATCAAAACTTCTAATCATAATTTGAAACACCTTTATATTAGTCAAGTCGTGGTCATAACTACAGCAGATGTATTTGCTCTGACCCAATATGAATATTATAGGAATACGATTAAAACAACCATTCAAATCTCCAAATCCCCTAACAATAAAAACAAACATCACAAGTGGATGAATAAAAGCACACTACCTGCTCTGCCAGCCCTGGAGCGGGTTAGTGTATTTCCTCAGGACCCCCTCCAGGTGCCTCTTGGTGCGGGCTGTTTTAAGGGGCGAGGGGCCCGACCCTGCGCCGCTGTCCCTGGTCCCGGAGCCTGCTCGGTGCTCCACGGCAGCGGGGCTGTGCGGCTGTCCTCCCCGCTGCTCCTGCCTCCTGCAGGGGCTCCGAGCGGTACTCTGCTTCATGCTGAGGCTGGATCAGGACGCGTAAAGGCGCACAGGACTGAAATGTGAGGGTTTAATGCAGAACAATGCAGCGCTCTGGAAAGTGATGCAGCGATGAGAGAGTGAGGGAAACAAGTGGAGCTTTACTCCATCCTCTCACACTGTGACACACGGGAGGGATATTCCGACTCTTACACTGCGGAGCTCTCTCTCTCTCTCTCTCTCTCTCTCTGACGTTATTGCGTTTTTATTTTGGAAATCCCGGGTTGGTCACTCCCCCGAAAGCCCGGGATACTCCCCCTTCAGCCGGCCACTGGGAATCAATAATGCAGTAAAAGCCCAGATAACATTCCATGGGCTGTATTTATGTTGTTATTATTAGAAACGAGAATATTCCTAATAAACCTGCAGCCAAGGACCTTTGGACATGATGCTGAGCTGACATATTATCAGCCGTGCGTGCAGGGCTAACAGAGGATTTTTGCACATGTGGTGTCTTTTTAATAATGCATGAATGCAAACAGTCTTCAGAGTAAGCACCTGGAAATATAACACCCACACACACACATATATATATATGTATATATTTATATAAATATATACAATTTCAGAATCAAACAGAGCACTCTCATAATAACGTTTAGAGACTGTTCAGAGACTGAATATATCCTCTCCCCTCTGGTCGCTACAATGAGGACAATAAATTACGGGCCAAAAGTTTTATTTACAAGTATTAAAAGTAAGTAGAGGACACCAAACCAACTGAGACCTGTCTGTCCGCTGCATCTACGCACTGTACAACACACACACACACACACACACACACACACACACACACACACACACACACTGTACCACACACACGCACCTACAGCTCACAGCCTAACAGCCGTTGTGTATTTTATTATGTGAAGCACTAAATGGTTTTAGAAAGATATCGACTCTTTGTTTGTAGATATCTACTAAACTAAAGCAAATAAAGAGAGTAGGCCTTATACTGAGTGATATATATATATTATACACACTGCTCTGCTTTCTGCACGGACCTCACAGCTGTTCTCACTGTAAACGTCGCGATGAAAGCAGTTAATAAAATAATATCCAGGGGATGCATGCAGAGCTGTCATTGGCTGAGATAAGTCCAGCCGTGCCTCACGACTCTTTGCAACATCTCTGTTCCCGGAAATGCATCCACGAAGGAGCCGTGGAGGACCGTGGAGGACCCATCAGTGTATCCTCGGTTATAGCTCCTCCAGAGAGCCTCCTCGACGCTCGATCCTCGGTCCTCGAAGTGCATTTAGAGAAATGAGATGTCCTTCAACATGGCGCGCTGAAATTCATTTCTGGGTCACTACCGGAGGACCGAGGAGTGGGATTTGATTAAATGAGAAAGGGCCACTGTGTTGTGTGTGAGGTTTCTCAGGTTTCTAATCAGTCATATTAAAGGGATTTTTATTCTGTTATCTTTATCATAAAAACACGATATCTGCTGCATATGCATAATCCTTAAAGCCTTTGTTCATTCGGAATGATGTTATCTTTTATTAAGCAAGTATACCTGTTATGTAATCGAGAGACCACCGTTTACGTCAACAAACACGAAAACTACAACTTCTTCCAACGGACTCGTCTACGGCACATTCGATGACGTCATCAGTATAAGACGCGTGTTGTGCAGCTTGCATCGATAGCTTCCCCTCCACCCCCTCCATGGAAGTGCACGGTACCCCCAGTCCCTGTGAGTGGAGGACAGAGAGCCAACAGAGCGAACACCGACAGCTCCACACATTGCCTCCCCGCTCAGAGTCTCCATTCTCGGCTGCGGGAACTGGTAAACTGGGTGGAGGCGGAGCTTAGAGAGGGACAGCACTGTGGAGCTGTGAGAGGACAGGAGCTGGTTGTCACTTACTTTAAACACGTCACACAATAACGAATTACATGTCAAATATTGTCATCAGTAACCTAAACCAATTGATCACAATATAAAAGCGAACCTCAATATCGAATGCCATGCAAATACATACAACAGAAAATAAATAACACTAACAAGATTCAAGACTTCTATTGTCATTTGTACATAGCTACAGTGTAGATGTCAATGAAAATCTTAGTTCACAGGCTCCTCCAACAGTGCAACACAATTAAACAGATATAATAGCGCAAGTAAATACAAATAAAACAGAATAGAAATAATGCAAGAATAGTCTACAAGTAATTGGAATATGATAATAGATAATTCGTTTTTTTAAGTTGCAAACAGATGAATGTTATGGAAAAGTTCAGATGTTCAACAGTCTTATGGCCTGTGGAATTAAACTGTCTTCTGCTTAAGTGTGTTGTGTAATAATGGACTTGTGAAGCCAACCCACTTGCTGCCTTTATCCATATTCAGTTCACAAATGCTTTAATTACTTTGTGTAACTCGTACTTTTAAAATGCCTACAGTAGGTGTCAAGGCTCATGTAATGCTTGCACATTATATATGTCATTTATAATGCTGCAGTGACATATTTAGTGACGGATTGAACACAAAATGGCAATACTTCTACGCTCTTTAAAAGTGTTTGAGCAAAAGTAGAATATTATAACCTTCATCCAGGACTGCATAGTTTTAGCTAACACAGTTGTCCTCACTTGACCTCTGTATGGAGCATGACAACAGATAGTTTTATATACAAGCACCTAATATAGTGCCTTATCTACAGCAGACAAACCTCTAATTCAATTTTTTTAAAACACACTGAACTCCTGACTCTGCTTGGGTTGCAGGGGCTCAGCCATCGCCAGGATCATTGGAAGTCATGCCACATCACTGCGTTTTGCCAACACAGTGAAGATGTGGGTGTACGAAGAGAACATTAATGGCAGGAAGCTCAGAGACATCATCAACACGGAGCATGAAAACATCAAGTACCTTCCGGGATACAAACTGCGGGAGAATGTGGTGAGAGAAATGTTCTTTTAGCCATCACAAATGTACCACAGAGCTTTGAAGCTGTGTAGGTAACACTGTGCTTGTGGCTTCAAATGGAAACAGGTCATGAATATATTAAATATAGTTATTCAAATGTGAAAAATAAGGTTTGATGTGACTTGTGAACCAGATTCAGCCCAGTTTTAACCTCGATGTCAACTTCTGAATCAGTTTCTAATGAGACATCACTAGACAACTCAAAGCCCACCTTGTGCTCAGTTTGAAGTGGTATGTCTCTTTTTGTTTTCTCCAGGTGGCTGTCCCGAAGCTGCGTGATGCCGCAGAGGGGGCTGACCTGCTGGTGTTCGTGGTCCCTCACCAGTTCATTCTAAGTCTCTGTGACGAGATGAAGGGATGTGTGTCCCCCAAAGCTCGGGGAATCACTCTTATAAAGGTATTAAGGCTACTTGTTATTGAGTTCCAACTGGCTTTCTGGGTCTGCCTGCATCACTGCTGGAGGACCAACAGTGACACAGTCTTTGTTGTTTTACCTACCAAGCTTCATTCAAGTTACAGTAATATGATGCATATGTTCTTAAAGTCCTTTAAAGACCCTTAGTTTTAATGTGTGGGTATTCCCAAATGAGTTGTATGAGGGATTTAGGAATAGCAGCTCTTTAATGTGTAGCCCCCTCTTTGTAGCCCTATCAAAGTTGACTCAAAAGTGGTTTTGTGGACCGGTGTAGTATTTTCTTTGTTATATTTTTATCAGTTAAAAGTCAAGGTGTTGCATAAGAATTTGGAAGCTGTTGCTGTTAACACACAACATAAAATACATTCTCAATGTAGGTGAAACAGACAACCTTAGAAAACACAAATCAACAGTGTGATGCAATGAGAGAGCGTTTGTTTCTGGTCTACCCACAACTTGAAGAACTTTACTACACACACCGACGTCTACCCATTCACCCACACATCCATACTCTGATGGCAGCGGCTGCCATTAAAAGTGCAGACTCATCATCAGGAACAGTTCGTGGTTCACTTTCCTGCTCAAGGAGACTTCGAGAAAATAGTAGATTGGAATCTCACATTTTTTAACAGTTCAAAACTATTATACTGCTTTCAGAATGTATGTTATCCTGATAATCATACAAATACACTTATAATTCTGGAAATGCCACTCGAACATACCGAAATCACTATACTAACATTTTATTAAACACGTTTTGTATTGCATCACAAATACAGGACACATTATGAAGACATTAGTTTTGAGTGAAAATCAAACAATCCTAAATAAGGTAACCCTAAATCACAAGTTACCCCTGTGTCTTTTTCTTCGTGTTGTGCGGTTGAATCCCAAATCGTGACATCAGTCAGAGAGCTGAGGAGGCTTTTTATAGAACATCTGAAACCCAGGCTGTGTGCTCCACTCTGGGGCTTGTTTGTTCATTTCCACTGCAGCACAGATAACAGATATGAAAGCCATGCCACACACACACACACACACACACACACACACACACACACACACACACACACACACACACACACACACACACACACACACACACACACACACACACACACACACACACACACACACACACACACACACACACACACACACACACACACACACACACACACACACACACACACACACACACACACAGTCTCTGTTTGTGTATGGGACTACGTTGAATGCTCAGCTCTCTCCAGGTAAAAAGGCATATTAAAAGCGGTGTCGCAGCTTCCTTCCTTTGTTTCCTTAACCCACTTAAACGCCTTTCAAATGGATATTTCTTACACGTTTTCTTTTCATTTTATTAGTTTACTCGCAGATGCAATTACTTGTTTGGCTTCTAATGATGTGCTGTTATTATATGTGGCCTCGTGGTTCATCAAAACACATTATACAAAGAAAATAGGCCTTTACAATTTCCAACCAACTCGAAACAAAAAGGCAAAACTAAATGATATCAAACTAAGATCGTCTTTCTTTCTAATATGAAGTGCGTCTTCCACACCGTTTGCCAATATCTGTGTTTCTTAAATAGCAGCGCTGTGGGAATTGCAGTCTTGTATAGTCCCTTGACTCCAGATGTCTTCACTAGGTGTCGATATTAACTGACCTTTTCACAAAAAAGAAAAACGCTCTAATACTGTGTTGGGGGGCATTGTGGAGGGGGGCTTCCGATCAGGCGTAAGGTGTTGCAGGACTGAGAGAGACACTAAGGCTGGATTCACGCTTAATTTCCCCCAGGAATAGAAAGCCAGGAGCAAAGTAGGTCACATGTGTTACCTTACCGTTTTAAATAAAGTAGACCTTCAGAATAAAAGCATCATCTCATCATATTTAAAGGTCCCCTGTTATACTGTTTTTCATCAATATACTATAGGTCTCAAAACATGTCTCTGATTGGCTGAAACACCAAACAGAACAGTGCTGATTCTCTGTCTGTTACTTTAGATGAAAATAAGGAGCACTCCCCACGCCCCTCTGAGAGATATTTTAAACACAATGGTACCTTGGTTGGTTATTAGCTAATGGTTACACAAGCCAAAAAAACATTATGACATCACAAAATGGCCAAAAAAAGGCTTTTATATAAATGGATCAAGACAAAAAGTGAGCAAATCTTTTTTCCTGAAACGTTCAGAGTCTCTTAACACAGAGGGGACACATATTTATGTATAAAATACATGAAAAAGTGGATTTTGTATAATAGGTAACCTTTAAAAGAACATGTACACTGTAAAAAAAGTCCGTGAAATTAACAGGGAAAAGCTGTAAAATCACGACATCAAAAAACTGTAAATAGAGAAACAATGAAGCTGTGTTTAATTTACAGTAATATTTCGTAAAGTACTGAACCAAACAAAACTGTTAAATTCACATTAAGAATTATGTTAAAATAATGATATTTCATTGTATAATTTACAGATTACTGTGGTTTGAACACAGAAAAACTGTAATACATAAAACAATACAATACAGTTAAAATTACAACATGACAGTGTTAAAATCATGTTTTTTTATATTTTTTAATTCTTGAATATACTATAATATACTTACTTTTTATTTCTATTTGTTTAAAACATATGTTTATTTTGAAATTGTACCCAGTACTGAGATATTCTTGGAAAATAAATGAGAATCCATAAAACAGCTGGCGTTTGGATTCTGGGGCCGCCCGGCTATTTGGAGTGGAATGCAGCCCGCGGCAGACAGCCCAAACAGTAATCGAACGCGCCAGTGTGGACGGGCCGTTACGTTCTTGTATTTAAAAAAAAATTGGGACAGCCTCTCGGCGGAAGTCACGCAAGCGGTCAACGAACGCAGCCTCCGAAGGAAACGGCCGCTGAACTGAGACACGCCTACTGAGCAGTAGAGTTTGTTTCTGTTATTTCATTGGACTATTTAATTATCGCGGGAGCAGCCACTTTTTGCAGGTTAATGGCTCGGTGCGCGGCCAAGTCTATCTCAAGTCTGCCTGCCACGGACCAGGGAGCTGTGTGCACATGAGCGGAGGATCACATCTGTAGCACTGGTAAGCTAACCGTTTATTTTCTTCAAACTTCAATTATAACACGGTGTGTTGTCAGGACAATACTAGCTTCTGTTTGTGATTTATTGCATTTTGCAGTCATAGTTATAACGTCTACTGACAGGGAGTTAATTTAAATAGTCTGGTAACGTTATTGAAGTATCATGCTAAAAGCTGAACTCTTTATTTTCGTTTAATTCATACTGTTGTGAAGCGAGGGTTTTGAAGCTACATCTGAGCAGGTTCAAATTTAACGGGCAGTCGTGTTACGGCCCGTCTACACTACAGGCATCAAAAAATCTTGAAGCTGGGCGTGTCTGAAGCTTGGTGATTTTTTGCGAGCAACGCGACCAACAACCAATCACATGAATCTCCCGCCCCCGACATACAAAGAAATAGCAATGTTAAAACGAAGTAAACTGGATATAAAATCCCCAAACAGGCGAAAACCTACCAGTTTCACCCACTGTCTCTGCCACCTCCCTCCATGCCTGGTTCCTCCGGTTTGTATCCCGGTAAATAGTTCTGGTCGGAAAGAACCGGGTGATTTGCTACCGTAATTTCTCGTTTGGAATATGAGGAAATGAACTGCGGTCTGGCTCTCCCAGCTTGCACGTGGTTTGATTGGCTAGCGCTTGTACTGGCGGGAATTGCAAAAACGGGATTTGATTGGCTGACGCCAGCTTCGAGCAAGCATCGAGCCTCAAAAGTTGAACATTGTTCAACTTTTGACGCCGATAGACGCTCGCGATGCTTGCAACGCCTTGCCATGCTACCCACAATGCAGTTCGGCGAAGTTTGAAAATATCCTACGTGTGAGTGCATTTTGCAGCAAAACGCTACATACGAGGGGTTGTTCTGCATTGCATAGGAACCCCAGTGTTTTTCAAATAATAATAATTAAGTCCACAAAGCCCTGAAATGTTTGCCGAAATTAGATGTGCACCTTCCAAAGTAGGATGAATGCCGTCTCTCTTAATCAGACCAGGTTTTCCCCAGAAGGCTGTCCAATTATTTACGAAGCCCACATTGTTTGCTGGGCACCACCAAGACAACCAGCGCTGAAATGATGACATGCGGCTATACATGTCATCATTGATCAGATTGGGGAGGGGACCAGAGAAGATTACGGTGTCCGACATTGTTTTAGCATAACTACACACCGACTCCACATTAAGTTTGGTGCATTCTGATTGGCGTAAACGAACATCATTACCACCGACGTGAATAACAATCTTACTGTATTTACGTGTATTCTTAGCCAGCAGTTTAAGATGCGCCTCAACGTCGCCCGCTCTGGCCCCCGGAATGCATGTGACTGTGAGGCTTCGGTCTCTAAATTCAAGTGTCTCATAATAGAGCTACCAATAACCAGAGTTGGCTTCTCAGCGGGTGTCTCGCTGAGTTGAGAAAATCATTTAGATAAGTGAACGGGTTGGTGGGGACCTGTGAGTCTCGCTTTATGCCAAGGGCGCCGGAAGCGGGGGGGCCAGGGGGCCATTGTCCTCCCCACTTTTCAGCCCTGCCCCACATTTTCGCAGCTGCGGATGCCGCGGAACACTGTACAAATCCCGTTTCAATAATTCCCCTCTACTCTAAAGTCGCATCTAAAAAGAACGCCATCTGATCTAGCTGTGTATATTTTGTTATTTTGTATTGTTATATTCTATCTCATTAGCTACAGGCATTTTTGAAGCTTGTAAAGGGAAGATGACAGCTGGCCCCTCACTCGCCACTCTGCTCTTCCGCAGCGCCGCTCCCCCTCCCTCCGGCTGAAATTATGAATGTAAGGCATATAGTAATAGATAACACGGCAGGGTCCGTTACAGTTTGTTTTTATCTGATTTCAAATAAACAAAGTCTTGGCTTTCAGAATATTAAACTTTTTTCAGCAAATTCA